CGGACCTAGAAAAAGGATATCTTTGAATTAAAGAAATTAATTCCTTTGAGAAATATTTCTTTGCTTCAAAGAAAATTTATTTGTTTCAAACAAATTTTCTGTGATTAAAAAAATTTATCTTCGTTAAAAGAAATTTTTTATTTAATTCAAATAAATGTTTCCATGACTTTATATCAATGTTAGAATTTCTTTGATTTAAAGAACAATTTTCTTTGAAACTAATAAGCTTTTTTTGTTTCAAAGAAAATTTTATTTTAAATGAAATAAAACAAGTCAAAGAAACTGATTTCTTTAAATCAAAGTAATCTATTCTCTGGGTGCAGCATTAAATTTGTGCTTTTGGCATTAAATTAGCACTCAATGAGCACTAAATTATGGCATAAATAAGAAAATTTTTTAGAGATTTTTTCTATGTGTTGGCGCTACCTTAACGTTAAGCTGGCGCCACCATGATTTTTTTTAAAATGTACCCACCGAGAAAAAGGATATCTTTGAATTAAAGAAATCAAGTCTTTGGGAAATATTTCTTTGCTTTAAAGAAAATTTATTTGTTTCAAACAAATTTTCTGTGATTAAAAAAATTTATCTTCGTTAAAAGAAATTTTTTATTTATTTCAAATAAATGTTTCCATGACTCAATGTTAGAATTTCTTTGATTTAAAGCACAATTGTCTTTGAAACTAATAAGCTTTTTTTGTTTCAAAGAAAATTTTATTTTGAATGAAATAAAACAAGTCAAAGAAACTGATTTCTTTAAATCAAAGTAATCTATTCTCTGGGTGCAGCATTAAATTTGTGCTTTTGGCATTAAATTAGCACTCAATGAGCACTAAATTATGGCATAAATAAGAAAATTTTTTAGAAATTTTTTCTATGTGTTGGCGCTACCTTAACGTTAAGCTGGCGCCACCATGATTTTTTTTTAAAATGTACAGCATTAAATTTGTGCTATTCGCATTAAAATTCACTAAATGAGCACTTAATTATGGTATAGGTAAAAAGTAATTAGTATTACTAATAATTTTTTTTGCCAATAAAAATTAAGATTTAAACTTCTCCTCTCTACAAATGAAAAGGTTGCTACTTGTGTCCTAAAAAATTCAAAATGAAAAGAAAATCAAATTTTTTAATTTAACAATGATTACTCCCTTCCCCTAAAGAGAGAATGGAGATTTTTTGCCAATAAATTTTTCTCCATTTTAAATTTTTTGCTCACAAGTAGAAATCTTTCTTTGTGCAAAGAGGATGAGTTTATATCTTTTTTTAATTTCAAAATTTTTATTCGTAAAAAATTTAACATCGGATTCGTAATGAGCGACCCAGAAAACCTCCAAGTAACGAGTTTCAAACATATTCGGTCAATTTTTAATTTTGTCATCCGCCATATTGGTTCCGCCATTTTAAGTTTTGATAAAATGATACCGGATTCCTAATCAGCGACCCCGAAAACCCCCGTGTAACTAGTATCAAGTCAATCGATTAATTTGTAAATTTTTAAATTAAAAAAATGTAAGTGGTTAAACTTGTTTTTGTCTGAAACTTGATTTTGGACAAATCTAACATTTAAAATCTCATATTTTTAATTAAGAGCAAAATATTTGGAGAGCACTAAATGAGCACTAAATTATGGTATCAATAAGAAAATTTTTTTTCCAGCTTTTTTTTATGTGGTGGCGCTACCTTAACGTTAAGCTGGCGCCACCACGGTTTTTTTTTAAAAAATGTACAGCATTAAATTTGTGCTTTTGGCATTAAATTAGCACTAAATGAGCACTTAATTATGGCATAGGTAAAAAGTAATTTCGATAATGTGGTTGCGCCAACTTAATATACCTGAAAAATTTTGTATTTATTTAAATTCAAGTTTAAATATAAAAATAATTGTGTTCCTTGCATTGAAACAAACCGATATAATTGTAAATAGTTAGAAATTATATATTATTTTTCATTAATTTTCAGAAATTTCAGTTAAATTGTGAATTTTTGATTTTTTAACTTCCATTAATTCTTTAAATTTAACTGAAATCTATAGGTACTCAAATGTTTATATTATTATTATATTATTTTTCTATGTTTATTTCAATGTTATTGCTTTCTCCACAAGGAAGCAAATTATTTTGCTGATCGTAAAGAGGAAGCAAAATGTTCATGTATAATGAACATCAGAATTTACACCTTGTTTATAACTTTTATCTCTGGGAAATTAAAAGTGATTATTTTAGTTAATACGCATACTAATAGTATTTTAATGAAGATCTGTGTCGTGGACATTTTCAAAATTTAAAGTATAGAGAAAGCTTTTGCCTTACACGGTCATTTCTAATATTTTGTATTTGTCAATAACAGCACTGCCTATAATCTATTATTTAATAATTAGTTTCTTTCTTTCCTAAATAGCAGCGTTATACATATACATGGGCATATCTCTGGAACTTTTAACTTTTCAATAAAGGAAAAAAAAATTCTTTTTTTCGAGCACAGTATTGAAACTCTGTCAACATAAACTTCAAGTACGAAGATTTCAAATTATATAAGTGGACAGATAAAATTTTTTGTCTTAAAAAAGTTATTAATTATTTAAAATTGCAAATTATTGTTAACCTAAAACAGAAAAGTATTCAACAGGTGGTTGATTTTGGAATGAAAAACAATGGAAAGGAAATTACTGTGAAGTTACAATTTTTTAAAAATGATAAAATTTGGTTAATAATTTCAACATTTATTTAAAATAAAATTCTCATTTTGTACACACGTGTTTTCTGTTATTAAAATTACAATAATTTTTTTAAGACACGAGGCACATCAATTTAATATGTCTCAAAATAATTCTAATGACTTGAACTTTAATTTCTCATAAGTTATTTTGGTGTGCCAATTGTCTTATCAAAGAAAAATGCTAAATAAGAGGATTGCAGTCAAAAAGGTTAAAAGTGAGGGACAACTTTTAAAAGCTTATAACTTTTTTTACAATTTACAAAATGTTAATTTTCTTGCGAAAATGTGTTCATCGTTTAATTAACTTTAAAATGACGTATCTTAGAACTGGTAATTTTTTTTAATAATAAAGTTTTATCGTTTAAAGCACCACAAAGTATGGTTAGGGACAAGTAGAAATTGTTGAAAATCGTGCATTGAAAATTAAATAATTATTTATTTATTTAATAAATTAATGTGAAACCTGTTGGAAATGATTGCTCGTATCAAGTATTGATTTTTCCAACAAAAACCAGGTAAAATTTCATTGGAATTAACAAATTATACGCGAGGGACATAATAGTTAAAAGTTCCAGAGATTTTCCCACATATATATTATACAATTTGTATTTAAAGGATACTTTATTTTTGAAGTTCCGTAAATAAATAAAATAAAAATAAAATAATAATTTAAATGAATATTTGGTTTAATGAAAATTCTGGCATTTAAAAATTTGACTCAGATGAAATTCTGTTTAATAAGAATTCTGATAAATAAAAATTAGATAGAATAGAAATTTTATTGAATAAAAGTTTTGTTAAATATAATGCGTTGTACTAATAGATGATATACAACAATTTCTGTATGTCTCATTATTTTAAAGTTATGAACGTTTTAAAAACGCTATTCTTTACAATAAAATAAAAATATTTAATAATAGGTAATATGAAGTAATAAAACAAAATATATGAATTTCTTTTGTAAATTTATTATTTATTACTACAATTTACCGAATTTTGAGAAAAATCCGAGACATGACCCCGTATTCTTATATGAAATGCCTCAGGTACACAATATCTGACAAAGTTTTGTGGTCACTCAATAAATTAAAAATATCTACTACTAGTAAATTAAAATATAATAAAATATTCCGCTGTGCTTTTATATGGAAACCTTTATATGGATTCCCTAATGTGAATTTTCCAGTAGGGATTAAACAATTTTTTGGTTACTTCAAACAAAATTTGTTAAATTCAAATAAATATTTATTTCATTGATATAATTGCTTTGTTTATTTTCATATAAATATTTCGAATAAGGAAAGAATTTGATTGAATCAAATAAAGTTTGGGTTGATTCAACCAAAAGTTTGGTGAACTGTATAGCAACGAATATAGGGCTAAATTTCTGATGTGAGGCCAAAATGTGAACATTGGATTTTTTGAAGAATCACAACTATTGTAAGTATAAAAGGATGAGCAAAATTTTGACCTGTATATTTTTTGCAAATTTTTTTTTAAAGAATTCAAAATAAAATTTTAATAAAAAACCCATTTTTTTCTTTCTTTTACCCTTTAAAATGAAGCTTAAAGTGTATACACCCAGAGAAAAGATTTCTTAATTTTTCTGTTTCAGGTTTTACTAATAAATGTTTTTTCTTTTTCAGGTTATACTAATGATTTTTTTTCTGTTTCAGATTTTACTAATAATCAATTTTTTTCCTTTCAGGTTTTACTAATAAATTTATTTTTCTTTCAGGTCTCCCACAGTACAAAAATATTTCTGCAATATTGAAAATATTTCAACTATTGCAGGAATAAATTTTGTCCTCTGGCGTGGTTAGGCCTAAATGCTCATTTTGACCCCAATTACAAAGTTAAAAAAAAATTATTTTCAAATTGCAAACTATGCAATGGGGAAGCACGTTAAAGAAAACGTCTATTGTTCCACCTCCTGGGTAATGTGGAAGAGAACATAATTATTTTTTTCCAAAAGAGAAATGGAAGCTTGTGATTCAAGGGAATTAGATTTATATATAGTAAAAAGCAATTTTTATTTTCACGATGAATTTTTATATTTTTGCATCACAAAATTTTCATTAAATTTAAATTTACCTTTTCAATATTTATAATCGACGACACCTAATGCCCTTAATGAATAAATTGAAATGATATTGCCTATATTTATAATAAAAAATATTTTTGTTTTTGATAATTACAAGCAATATTAACTGTCAGTCGCTTATCAATAATTGTCTTAATTTTCATAAAAATTTTTAATCGTTTTCTTCCTTTGATTTAAATGCCCATTTATTTGTAAATTTTCAGTTGACTTCAGTTGTTAAAAATAACAAGTCATGACAAGTGCTGTTTAAAGTATATTATTTTAATGCTTTAACAGTAATTAGTGAATAAACTAGCATTTTATCAAAAATGTCATCATCTGAGTTTCATAATCTTTTATATGGCACTACACGTATTCGAAAAACAATTCCAGTTCCAAAATTACCAATTGATGAAAAAGTAGAAAACAATCGTCTATGCAATTTTCAAATTGAAAAGGTTAGGTTTATTTATTTAAGCAATAGTATTTTTATTATTTTTATTTTTGTAAGGAATGTTTTAAAAGGTGCAAAATAATACAATAGAATTTAAAAAGAATTTTATTTAAAAAATAAATTATTATAAATTTGAATAAAATATTGTAAAAAGTATTTTTTTTCTACATTGTTATTTTTTCAATAAGTGGAAATTTCAAAAATTTTTATATCTTTCTAATAAAATTTTGTTTTAAAATTTTTATTTTTGGAATAAATTAAATTTTTTATTTCTAACATTATTCATCTTTGAACCCCTGTTTTTTACTATTAAAATTTTGAAGGAAATTATTTTTGAAAATTGTAGAATTTTTTTCTAAATATATTGATCCTAAATATATTTTAAAAATAATTAAATTCAGACACGAAGAAGAAAAATTCATCAACTGATCGAAGAGAAAACTTCAAAAGTAAAAAATGAATTTTTCAAAAATGAACATGATGAAGAATCACATTTTAAATGTAATGTTCCACGATCTCAAAAGTATTATATTTTAAAAATGAAAGAATATGCAGACAAATTACCCACAACTCAACTTCTTCCTGTAAGAAACAATTTTACAAAAATTTATTTTCATTTTTACAAAACTAAAATATTTTCATGATACTAATATATAATAATTAGGGGAAAGGTGAGTAAGTTCGCCCAAAAAAAGTTACTTAATTTTAATGTTTGAGTATAAAAACTCTTTCATAGTACAAAGACAACCTTCAGAAATGAAACAGAATAGTTATTTGAATTGTCTTTTCATGAAAATATTGAATAAATTGTAATTAAAATATCGATGGTATAAATGAAGAATTGATCTGAGGTGCGGGTAAGTTTGACTACGGAGGAGGGTAAGTCTGTTTCTTCCAAAAAGTATGAATAAATTGAAGTAAATGTGTCAAATTTTTTTGTATTTGTTTTTATTAATCAATAATCTTACACGGAGAGAAATCTGCTGCGATTTTTGCTTGGATGAGTAAATTACTTTAATTACATGGCACGACACTTGCATTTTTAGCATAAATTCAAGTATTTATTGTAAAAATAGTTTCTAAGCAAAAAACACAAGTCACGGGTGTTAATTTTGCATGAATTTCACATAAAAACTGCAAAGGGGACATGCCATAAAAGTATTAGATCCTCTCTTATAAAATTTGCAAGAATGCCATCTGATTTTCAGGTGGAATTTATACAACACAATCTTACCTCCGTATACACACAGCATTTCACACACACAATCATTGTATGCTGGTGATTCCGATGAACGGAACGCACAATGCGCACGCTCGTGTTTTACTATGCGTTTTTAACCGCGAAATTTAAAATAATTTTATTTAAAATTTTTTTAAAAATATTTGTTGCCAATAAGTGGTTGTTTATTAAAAAGTAAAATAGAAAAATAATAAATAAAATCGAATTATTTATAATGCATACATTATAAATAATTCGACTTTATTCTCGATTTATTTATTAAATAAAATAAAATTTAATTTATCCATAGATAATTTTCTGAATATATATAATATTTTATTAATATTTAATTAATTTCATATATTAATTAATTAAATTAAAATTATTAATTAATGTAATAAATATGTAAATATATAATATTAATACTATATTGGTGATTATATTTTAATATTTAATATAAAAATAATACTCATACCCATAATATAATAACAAATATATAAATACAATGAATAAATATAATTATAAATTTATACAAATGTAATTAATATTAAATTTTTAAATTGTTTTTTATTTTTAATAGATTCTGTTTTTAAAAGAACAAATAACATTTTAGCTAATAAATATTTAAAAATTTTAGTATTTAAAATTTTCTATTTTACTGTTTAAGAAACAATCACTTATTGGCAACAAATATTTAAAAAAAATTTTTAAATAAAATTATTTTAAATTTCGCGGTTAAAAACGCATAGTAAAACACGAGTGTGCGCATTGTGCGTTCCGTTCCTCGGAATCACCAGCATACAATGAATGTGTGTGTGAAATGCTGTATGTATACGGAGGTAAGATTGTGTTGTATAAATTCCACCTGAAAATCAGATGGCATTCTTGCAAATTTTATAAGAGAGGATCTAATACTTTTATGGCATGTCCCCTTTGCAGTTTTTATGTGAAATTCATACAAAATTAACACCCGTGACTTGTGTTTTTTGTTTGATACACTCCATTACATTAAATACATGAATTCATATTTAAATTATTCCAGTCTTAAGCTAAAATTGTATCGAAAAATGACTTATGAAATTAATAAAGACAGCACAAGCAAAAATCGCAGCAGATTTCTCTCCGTGTATGAATGTCTTAAAAATTAATACTGTATTATAATGAAATATACATTTTTTTTGTCAAATTTAATTTTTCAATCAATACTAGTTTTTAAAGGAGGAGAAAGTAGCTATACGTAAAGTATGTAACTCTCAAGGCGCTCTCACACCTTTTTGGCTGCCTGCAGGTTACAATGGCAACGCATGAGAGTGAGTGCAACAGAAAATTTAAAAATTTGAATATTCAAATTTTCTGTCTCACTCACACTCGTGCGTTGCCATGGTAACCTGCAGGCAGGCAGGCAGCCAAAAAAGGTGTGAGTGCGCCATCAGAGACAAATGCGCATGCGCGCTTTGTGCGCGTTTCTTTCTCAAAATATTCAAATAATTATTTGTTATATATTTATTGAATTATGCATTTTTTCTATTAAAAAATTTTTAGACATGAAAGAAAGAATGAATGCGAATGACAGTGAAAAAGATAATTTATTTACACTAAAACGTCAATCGAGAACAGACGAATGTGCAGTGCTGTTCTCGATTGACGCGATTTTTATCGCTCGAAAATAAAAACACTCAGGGCCGTATGAAGGGCCTTACGCAACAATGTGAATTCTATCTAGGGGATTTTCACTAGTGGGGCACTGAATCCACCTTAAATTTAAAAATCACAAGTACGAGTTTGGCGTCAGTCATAACCTAAATTCTACCCGCTTTCCCACTTCCCTTCAAGTGTTCCCTTGCTCTGTTCTCGACTGACGTGTTCTCGATTGACGTTCTAGTGTATTAATATTTAACAATGTGTAAATAACATTTTTAGTATTGGACGAAAAATCAAATTTAACAATCATCTATTCTGAAACCCGATTAAAAATCAGATTTAACATTTTTCTATTCGGTATAAAATCTTTTAAAACTTTAAAATATCACATTTTAGATAGGTATTGTATGTATATAATTGAGGTTATGCATAATAGTAATTTTCTTGATTCTGCTACAATAAATGAAAATTAAAAGCGAAACAAAAATTTAAATAATAAAGTATAAATAAAAATATACTTGTTATTGCAGCATTAAATTAAACTATTATTAAATAATCACCTGCATTTGTAGAAATCTATCGCAGTTCGTCTTCTGTTGCATGTCTCTATTTATTTTTAAAAAAGTTATTAAGAAAAACGAACTTATCCGCCGCGCGAACTTACCCACCTTTCCCCTATAACTAATATTCTTTAAATATTACGATATTTTAAATTAGAATTTAAAATATTAAAAATATTAAATTCGAATTATAATTAAAATTTTTAGGAATGGGAAGAAAATATTAAAAAACAACTGTCAAAAGAGTTGAGAGTAAAGTTTAAAATAGTTTTCAATGATGAGATAAAAGAAACACGAGAACGTTATTTTAAAACAATGCATGAATTAGGAATACGAGAAGTTATAGCAATGGAATGTCAAGACAAAACATTCGATACATTAGATCCACCTTATAAATTTCCTGGACATACGGAATATCGCAATAAATTTTTGAAAAATCGCAGCATAATAGAAAAGAAATATTTTCTGTCTCATAAATTAATCAAAAATATAAAGTCTAAAACAAATATTTTTCAAAATTTTATATTAGATTTTCGAAAATATCGAACTCGTGGTTTTTTGGAATTAACACGGTAAATTGAATTTATTTATATATATATATATATATATATATATATATATATATATATATATATATATATATATATATATTGCTTATTATATTAATTTTTATTAATTCGTTAAAAAAAATTGTCAGTTTGCAGGATTTAGTCGAGGATGATTTAAGGAAAGGAAATTTAATTATAACAAATTCTTATTACAATAGCATTGTTAAATTAATTTCACAACCACGATATTTACATGAAATTCCATCAAATTTGCTGCCCTCATTTTTAAAGTGTGCTTCCAGATTTCTGGCTCTTCAAATAAATCGACAAATGATGAATACTATTGAACACTTGCTTCAAGTAGCCAATGATCCTTTAACTATTCCAGTGTTAAACGTAAGTTTTATATTATTATTATTTATTTTTAAATAAATTAAATCTATGAATATTTTTTTTCCATTGTTTGGGAATAAAATTCAAGGTTTTTTATTCCTAAATTTGAAAATAATTTAAAAGTTTTCCAAATTAAAACTTTACTTCGAAATAAAAATAAATTCAAATAATGTGCTTGAAGTTCTCAACTTTCAAATCAACGAAATTTTTTTTTTATCTATAAACTATATACCTAATTGTGCCAGAAAATTTAAGAAAAAAAAACAGAATTTGGTCTTGAATAGTAAAAAACCACAGTTAATAAAAAAATTGATTTTAATTAAATGTACATTCAGTTTGTATAAATGTATTTAAAAAAATTTTTAAAAATTAAAAATTGAATTTGGAAAATTATTAAATTAAAAAAAATGAATTTAAAACTAAAATTACATTAGTAATTTATTTTACAATAATTTAATTTTTAAATTAATTGAAAATTCATAACTTGAGAATTTTTCTAACTCAAAATTTTCTTTATCTTATTGAACTCGAACAATTTCTCCAACATTGAGTGATTGAAATTTTTTTGAATAATTTACCAAAATTCGTAATTCGAATAATTTTCATTAAAAAAAAAAATCTTTACAATTTAAAGGATTTATAAAATTTATATTTAAATATCTAATAACAATAGATATATAGGAATAAATACCTATTTTTACGTTATTAAATTTTATTAAAAAATAAAAAGTCGACTAAAACGATTTTTAGCGCTTTAAAATCGATGTGTCTTGTCATCATCGTTAATGCAATTATTTTTATATGAAAATTGCAAATTAAATTGCTTTTCAGATAAAACTAAAATGTGAAAATAATCAACTATTTATTTCACCCTCGATGCCCGAGATTTATTCGGTATTTCATTCTTTTATTGATAATATTGCAAATACAGCACGATATTTGCCATCGCTGGAGTCTTGGGTAAATGTCAAAACCACAAATGAATTCATTCCAGTCACTTTGCCCGATTGGTATTTACAACAATCACATGAAATTCTTGAGCAAAATTTGGAAACAATGTATCAATCCTTAAATAGTTACATTGAAGATCTTGGACAACAATTTAGTTTCATTTACAGTTCAGAAACACATCAACAAATTATAAACTATGTTGCAGAGGGTCATGATTTTACCACATATGTGAATAAATTTGAAGAATTTAAAACCTATTTTTGGGAAATAACAAAAATTGTAAATAATTTAACTTGCATTTTATATATTTCTGGGATTATTTATGTAAAAAGTAAAATTATTTTTTTCCATATTTTTCAGACCAGATACGAATACTTTTTAGTTGGTAAACTTCATCAAGACGATGGAAAATTGTCTTTAAAACACTATGCAGAACAAGTGCAAGATCATATTATTAAAGAATTAATTAAAAGTCATAGAAATTTTAATTTGGAAATATGTCGAGAATTTGAAGAGCTTGAAAGTAAAGCTTTGAATATTCCAGAAAATACTGAAGATTTACTCGAGTTGGGTAATAAATATTATGATATTTTTATTTATTTTGGAATTTTGATTAAATTTTATCTGCTTATTTCTTTAATTTTTGCCACAAATTTATATTTATTTGTAATTATAATTAATTTCACTCATTTTTTTTTATTTTGATATAATTGATAATAATAATAATAGAGAATGGAATAATTTATAGGAAAATTTATGGTATATGCAACGACAATTTTACTGGCTCAACTAAATGAAAAAGTATCGCTGTCTTTATTTATGATGTCCTCATTACTTGAAATGACGTCTTTGGACAAAGATCACATTGAATTGAATAACACGACAGTTAATTGGTTACAGCGCATTCAATTAATTTTCGAACAAAATAGTTCACTATACGAACAAAAGAAATTTGAACTCGAAGAATATCTACAAAACAAAAATAATTCTCTAAATACAGAGATTGAAGAAATGTTCCCAAAGTATATGGGAGCCGGAGTGACCAACAATGAGACACTTTATACAAAGACACCACGGTGCGCCAGAAGGAGGTTTAAATAAAAATGAATTGGCACTTAAAAATTCCTTTTGATTATGGTTCTATAAGATGAATAAAAAACTTTTCTCAATAGGTTTTAAAATCAGCGGATAAACTTCCGAAAACCCCCCCCTTCCGATTTTAATGAAACTTGGTATACTTACGTAATTTCATGCGCTGATCACGAAAATGATAGTGAAAATTACCGCAAATTTCATTTTTATGGTGAAAACCATAAAAAACACCATAAAATTATGGTTTTTTGCGTTTAACTCGTAAAAAACGCAAAATTAAAAAAAATCGTTCTTACAAAAGTTGTAGAGCTTCTAAAAATGAACATTTTATGTCCTATACATTTTTTACCAAAAGTCATTAGTTTTCGAGAAAAATGCAAAATATTTAAAAACGGTGAAAATTACCAACTTCTAGCTATTATCCACAAGAGGCAGATGTCTTATGTGACGGACAATATCTTTTAATAAAAAACCTTCTACTCTTTGCTGTGCAGGGCTATTTCCAAAAGAACTTTTAGGGGAAGACATCTTGGAGGAGGGGGGTCGGGGTAGGTTCCGTACCTTCCAGTACCATTAAGAATGTGAATTTGACTGTCTGTTTTGAAAGGGAGCAACGTTGCTAGGGAAGGCGGGCTTCGCCCGCCTCTGCATTCTTTGCTGTGCAGGGCTACTTCCAGGGGGGAGGGGGGGGAAGACATCTTGGAGGAGGGGGGTCGGGGTGGGTTCCGTACCTTTCAGTACCATTAAGAATGTGAATTTGACTGTCTGTTTTGAAAGAGAGCAACGATACTAGGGAAGGCGGGCTTCGCCCGCCTCTGCATTCTTTGCTGTGCAGGGATACTTCCAGGGGGGAGGGGGGGAAGACATCTTGGAGGAGGGGGGTCGGGGTGGGTTCCGTACCTTCCAGTACCATTAAGAATGTGAATTTGACTGTCTGTTTTGATAGAGAGCAACGATACTAGGGATGGCGCGCTTCGCCCGCCTCTGCATTCTTTGCTGTGCAGAGCTACTTCCAGGGGGGGAGGGGGGGAAGACATCTTATATATTATATATACATAATATATGTATAATATAATATAATATCATAATAATATAATATTCAAACGAATCAAATTTAATGTGCGATCTCTCAAAACTATCTTTATAGGAATTCCAGTTTCGTGGTATTAGTAATTTTTGTAGTGTGCTTTTCATGTTTCTGCATTTTTCTCGAAAACTAATGACTTTTGGTAAAAAATGTATAGGACATAAAATGTTCATTTTTAGAAGCTCTACAACTTTTATAAGAACGATTTTTTTTAATTTTGCGTTTTTTACGAGTTAAACGCAAAAAACCATAATTTTATGGTGTTTTTTATGGTTTTCACCATAAAAATGAAATTTGCGGTAATTTTCACTATCATTTTCGTGATCAGCGCATGAAATTACGTAAGTATACCAAGTTTCATTAAAATCGGAAGGGGGGGGTTTTCGGAAGTGCACCCTTACGTGCCCAATTTGAAACAAATTGAGTTTTAAATATTTAAAAATAGTATTTTATGAGGAACCAGAATTTATTTAATGTATACTTATATGCGTATAGATAATAGATGTTTTAGATTTGGGTTCATATAAATTTATTAACAATGAAGTTATTTTCTTGTTTCGTTTTTATATTTATGCATTAAGAGTGTCGAACGGTATCTGAAATTCTTTGGCAAGAAGAGAGCTTTAATTATCGCTCTGAACGGTGAAATAGTTTTCATTTTAAAATACTTTTTTTCTCGAAACACGAACACTTTTAACAAAATCAGCCAAAATTCTCATCTTATAAATTTCCTAAATCCAAAACACTGTACGAATCCATAGAAAAACGTGGTTGCAAAACAAAAAGTAGAAAAGTAATCTAATAACAGCTGCGACTTTGTGCGCCCTGCATGCTGCTGCCATCTGACGGCAGCAGGAGGTAATGAACCTGTCATTATATTACTTTTCGTTTTGCAATCGTGTTTTTGTATAGATTCGTATAATCTTTCGGATTTAGGAAATTTATATAAGATAAGGATCTCTAGCTGCTTTTGTAAAAAGTGTCCGTCTTTCGAGAAGAAAGTATTTTAAAATCAATTTTTATCATTTTCACGTTTAGTGCTGTTTTTATAGAGCGATAATTAAAGGTCTCTTCTTGCCAAAAAATTTCAGAGACCATTCGACTCTCTTAAATAAATTTTGTCACTATTAAAATCGTTCTTTTAACATCCCAGTAAAAAAAAATAATTGAGAGTAAGGAAAAATAATTGGGAGTTAGCTTACTTTGTATTCGGTTTGGCGTCTAAACCGTGTAGGGACGTTGCGGCCAATTATTTTTTCTTACCCTGAATTCTTTTCATCTGGATTGTTTGAATTGATGTTTGTTGATCAACGTTTGCATTACAAATGAATAGAATGCATGCTTCGAAGTATCAAAATGCCGATTTGGAATAAGAAATGTAAAATTTTATGAAAAAGACAAAATGTGAAATATGACAGATTTATCGACAATTTTACCATGTGAGTAGTGTTCATATGATAAATTTACCATACGAGCACTACTGACATGATAAAATTGTCGATAAATCAGTCATATTTCACATTTTGTCTTTTTCATAAAATTTTACATTTCTTATTCCAAATCGGCATTTTGATACTTCGAAGCATGCATTCTATTCATTTGTAATGCAAACGTTGATCAACAAACATCAATTCAAACAATCCAGGTGAAAAGAATTCAGGGTAAGAAAAAATAATTGGCCGTAACGTCCCTACACGGTTTAGACGCCAAACCGAATACAAAGTAAGCTATCTCCCAATTATTTTTCCTTACTCTCAATTATTTTTTTTTTACTGGGATTATAATTTAATTTTTTAAAATCGGACACAAAAACCACAGCAATATAATTATTTATATGTAAAATTGAAAATAAGTAATTATTTTATCATTTATTACACTATTTATTAGATTCAATAAATTCTGATTCCCCATAAAACACTGTTTTTATATAAAAACTCAATTTTATTTAAATCGGGCACGTAAACTGATTTTAAAAACTATTGAGAAATGTTTTTTATTCATCTAAGAATCATAATCAAAAAGAATTTTTAAGTGCCAATTCATTTTTATTTAAATCACCTTCTGGCGCACCGTGACACACTTTAATTTTCTGAAAAACTACTTAAAGAAACTCGACAAAATTTTAAATGTAAATGATGTTTATGACAACACAATCTCCAAAAATTTTAGCCACATTGATTCATTATTTGCAAAGAAAATTGAAAAAAAACTGTTTTTGACATATCAAAGTTTTTTTCTTGAAATATAATGATGATTTTTATATAGATAGGAGAGTTTTAAAAAACAGTTTATATACTTCGATTACTTATGTTTTTAAATATCTAATAATTTCAAATTTTTTAAAATTCCATAAACAATTTTTATTTAAGAGTGTCGGTCTCTAAAATTCTTTGGCATTTAATTATCGCCCTATAAAGTGGCACTGAACTTGAAAATGATAAACATTGATTTTTAAATACTTTCTTCTCGAAACACAGACACTTTGGAGTCATGCACATAATACGTCACGCAATTTTTACCCTTTTTTGACCCCCCCCCCTCCCCCATGTCACACTTGGCTCCATACATAAGCGCCATTTTTTCTATGGGTCGTTACAAATCTCTAGACCACCCCCCTCCCCCTGTTCGCGTGACGTATTATGTGCACGACCCCTTTTCACAAAAATCGACCAAAACACCAAGGATGCTTATCTTATAAATTTCCTAAATCCGAAAGATTGTGCGAATCCATACAAAAACGCAATATTGAAAAACGAAAATTAGGAAAGTATAACATAATGACAGCTGCGACACTGTGCTCCATGCATGCTTCTGCCACCTAACGGCTGCAGGACGTAATAAAGCTGTCATTATAATACTTTCCTAATTTTCGTTTTTCAATCGCGTTTTTGTATGGATTCGCACAATCTTTCGGATTTAGTTAATTTATAAGATAAGGGTCATTGGTGTGTTTTGGCCGATTTTGTAAAAACTTTACGTTAATACCAAAAAATTGCTTAAAAATTTATAAAATTGACATATTAATATGTCTTTGAAAAAAAGGTGTCTCATCGTTGGTCACTTTACCCTTTATTTTTTATTAATTCTCCTGTTAGACTTTTTTTATTCCATGTAGAATTATATTTTTTTAAAATTTTAATCTATTATTTGAAATTTTTGGGTTTGAATAAAATTTCGTTATTATAAATTAAAATTTTTAAATAAAAATGCAAAAATAATGAAATATTTTACGAAATTATTTTTATTATTTCAGATTAGAAATAATGAACGATATGGACGATGGTAAAAGAATAGGTGAGTATATTGTATATATGCGAAAATTTATTCACTGCCTGGACAGAATGGACGAACAAATTGAATGGATAAATCGTGAGGAAAAACTTTTTCAATTTCCATTGAGTGTTTATCCAAAAATCAAAGAACTTAAAGAAATTATTTTACCATATTATTCTCTTATATATCGCGCTTATCAATGGAAAAGAGATTTAGGTGTTTGGCTAGATGGACCTTTTGAATATCTTGATGCAATTATAATTGAGAATAAAACTGTGGAATATTTTACTGATTTTTCGAAAACTAGTAAAACATACAAGACGAAGATCAAGATGCATATTGCCATGGGATATCCGTACAGGTATTATTAATATTATTTTAAAAATCAGTTTTAAAAAAAAATTCCTTTTTACTTATTAACAATAAACAGTTTTTCAGGATCAGTGGATGATCCCGATCCTTTTCAGCAACCGGCTCCTATGAAATTGTGTTATCAATTATTAGACGAGGTTAAATGGTTCAAGGTAAACAGGAATCTTTATAAATATTGAGTTTAAATTGTTTTTGCTTTAATAGTAGTAAGTAATACTAAAACAAAAAGAGTCAGTACAATATTGAAGAATCGGTTTTTAATTTATTTTTTATAAATATTTTTAGCAATATGTTCCATTGGCACTTTGTTTTTGTAACCCAGCACTTCGTCAAAGACACTGGGATGAAATGTCCCAAATTGCTGGTTTTGATTTGACTCCAAATGCTGGAACAACTCTTCGAAAAATAATAGCTCTTAATCTACTGGAAAATTTGGATCAGTAAGTCTTTACATAATAATTCAAAAATTTAAGGGCGGGAGCTTAAAATTTAATATAGGAAAAGTCTAGTTAAATTTTTATCTATCAAATTTCCATTGTTGATAAACAATTTTTCGATGTATCGAAATAATCGATATATTGAAGTAATCGATATATCAATATATTAGTATTAGTATTGTTAAAGACAAGAAAAAGCGTTTTAAAAATAATTAAGAAAATAATTTCAATATATTAAAATAAGAAATGAAAGTGAACACAAAAATTCTATTCTTTAAACATTTAAATCAAAATTATTATTCAAAAATTATTTATTATTATTAAAAATGTATAAATTAATGAAAAATTAATTTTTAAATATTTTATTTTTTGTAAAAGATTGTGGCCTTTACAAAATGGTTTTTAAAGTTGAAATAAAATTTTTTAATTATTATTATTATTATTAATAATAATAATAATAATAATAATAATAATAATAATAATAATAATATTAATAATAATAATAATAATAATAATATTAATACTTCTTAAATATTATTTTTGTATTTTTTACAGATATTTCCGTCCAACATTTCCTGAAAATTTAATTTAAATTTTCAGGAAATGTTCGTCACAAAAATTGACTGAATATTTAAATTACATTTTCACTTAACTTTCGCTATAAATTTTTAATGGATATTTAATTTAAATGTTCAGTCAATTTTCGCGACGAACATTTCCTGAAAATTTCATTTAAATTTTTACTTAATTAAAATTAAGTTAAATTAAATTCACTTAAATAGATTAAACTTAGTGACCACACTTTTAATACTTCAGATACAATTTACGTAGAAAAAATTACATTTAGGTAAAAACATTAAAAAAACCAATAAAGAAAAAAAAAGATACTAAATTTCCTACTAAAATATTTCTCCTACTAAAAATGTTACTGAAGGACCAAAATCTTACTAAATTTAGTGGGAAAACCACTAACTTGGCAACACTGTTTTCACGTACTTTACAGTACTGTTGAAGATACGTCATAATTTGGTCATAACCTAAAAACAATTTGGAGGAAAATTTGAATAGTCGTTCTCTTATCAAGTGTTACTTTTTAAATGTTGTCGAACAATAATTGTAATAATTATTAATTATAAATTTTGAATTTTTTATTGTTTTTTAGCATTAAAAAATCACATTTTTAGTCGCTGTGTAAGTATAAATGCGCATGCGTATTGCTGACACAACTTATAATCAGTGTTGCCAAAATCCACGTTTCATAAACTTAAATTTTTGCCTGTCCCAGTGTTTAATGTCCCACTGTTTAAATTAAGCAATCGCAAGAAATTATTTAAATAAAAATTGTTTGTTAAATTTAAAAATATTTTAAATTATTGTATATTATACTTAAAAACATAATTAAACGAAAAATCAGCATTGTATTTCAAGAAAAAAATTACTCTGGTACGTCAAAAACAGTTTTTTTCAATTTTCTTTGTAAATAATGAATCAATGTTTCTAAAATTGTTGGAGATAGTGTGTTGTCATAAACATGGTTTACATTTAAATTTTGGTCGAGTTTCTTTAAGTAGTTTTTCAGAAAATTAAAGTGTCCTACTGTTTAAACTGTCCCACTGTTTGTCACTCTCCCCTATATAAAGTTTAAATTTTACGTAAATAAAAAAAAATTCATAAAATAATTGTCAAAAATGAATTGTACAGATATTAAAAGTTATTAATTCGAAATATCAGATTTTTCTAAAAATAGGCCACAACGCGACTTTAGGTAAAATATAATGGAATAACCCTGTAACATAATTTTAAATTCTTAATAATATCGGAAAATAAATTGGCACCCCTAAACAACATATAAATTACGATTGAATGAAATTAGTTTTTAATTATTTATTAAATTTTGACAAATTGATTAATATAAATAATATAGATTGAAAATTCTTTTTGTAGATACGATATTTTTAGCACCAGTGCAACAAAAGAGCTTGTTTTACAGCAACTTCTTTCAAAAATGATTCATGAATGGGATGATGTAATTTTTACCACAATGCCATTCAAAGATTCAGGTGTTAATATTCTTACACAATTAGATGACATTATTGCCTTATTGGAGGAGCATATTGTTAAAGTTCAAGCAATGAGAGGATCGGCTTTTGTAAAACCAATCGAAGATGAAGTCAAAGCTTTTTATGAATTGCTTTTGAGAATGCAAAGGACTATTGAAGAATGGACAAAGGTGTGTGAATTTAAAAAAAAATACACAATACAAATTTTTCTTTTTTTCTTTAAAAAATTATCGTTTTTTCAACTAAGTTTGGCAAATTAAAATTTAAGTAAAAATAATTCTTAAAATATTTAAATTATAATTACCTAGGTTTCATTTTAAATAAATAAAAATTTTTAAAAACTTCTTTTGATACATTTAAAATAATTTATAAAAATTATTAAATCAAACGTGAAAATTATTTTATTAATATTTATTATTAATATAAAAATTATGAATGAATAGGGATTAATAAATTAATAATAATAATAATAAATATTAACTTTTCAAAAAGATGCAAAAAATGACTGAAAAAGAATTGATTAAATTTTTTTGCAATTTAAAGTTTGAGAACTTATTTTTAAAAATGTTTGAAATCTTCGATTTTTTTTTAAATTTACAAAAAAACTACTTCTTTTTACTAAAATTTAGGATTTTTGTTTAAAAAGTTGGAATTACTTTTTTTTATTCTATACACTTTTTTAAAATTTTATTTTCATGGTAAAATGTTAAAATTTAAAAAAAAACTTTTAATTTAAAAAAAAAAATAATGATCTACAACTTTTAAAATTTTGAAAATGTTACAAAATTTTGAATAAATTAAAAAATCGTTTGTCTACGACGTGATTCGGTTCAAAATTTTTGTGAAAGGTAGTATTTTTTAAAAAGATTTTCAAAATAAATCGAAGGATATAAACAGTTTCAAAAATAAGATCTTTATCTTTAAATTGCAAAAATTGAGTTAATTTCTTTCTCGGTCATTTTTTGCATTAAAATTTCCAAAAATTCACTTAATCCTTTGCGGCATAGTGACACTCCTGATTGTGAGTGTCACCTTTTTTCTTGCACTTTTTTGAATACTTCAGCCACTATTTTACACTTTTCAGTAACAAAATGTATTTAAAATGTATTTTAGAATATCTATTGCAATATAACTACATTAAAAAAGTGTTTTTTATAAATAAAATAAATGTTATAAACAAATTAAGTTTAAAAATAGCGTTTTTTTACAATAAATGTAATTGTGACTAAACAAAAATAGGAAATAACCTAACAATAATGTCTATAAAGTTTTCGGGGTCGCTGATTACGAATCTGGCATCAGATTTTCAAAATTCAAAATGGCGGATCCAATATGGCGGATGACAAAATGAAGATTCGATCGGATTTGATTAAAACTTGTTATTCGGGGGTTTTTGAGGTCGCTGATTACAAATATGACGTTGGACTTTCAAAATTCAAAATGGCGGATGACAAAATGAAAAATTGATCGGATTTGCTTGAAACTTGTTACTACGGTGTTTTTGATGTCGCTGTTTATGAATATGACTTTGGATTTTTATAATTCAAAATGGCGCTTGTGTGTGTGTGTGTGTCTGTGATCAATTTGATCAATTTTAACAAAATTGTCCGCTATATTGGATCCGCTATTTTGAATTTTGAAAAACTGACATCGGATTCGTAATCAGCGACCCCGAAAACCCCTAAGTAACCAGTTTCGAGCGGATATGATAAATTTAAAAAAAAATGTCCGTCATATTGGATCCGCCATTTTGAATTTTGAAAATTTTTAAAATCTGGCTTCGGATTCGTAATCAGCGACCCTTAAAACCCCCTATAATGCACTTCAAAGATAAATTCCTGTTAAAGAAAAATGTATGCTTCAAAGGGTTAAAAACATGTAATTTTAAAAAAATTTCTTAAATTGATAAATTTTCAAGAGAGGATTCAAAAAAAAAAATCGTCAAAAATTTACAATTTTCAAAAATTCATATCAAAGGTTCAATACCCCATAAATTGTTAAATAAATAAATAAATCTCATTAATAGTTTTAGAAAAAAAATTCGAAAAAATTATCAACCTTTTTTTCGTATAGGACGAAAAAAAATTTGAACCAAAAATTTAGATTGATTATAATTTGGACTATTTAGAATTTTTTTCGATTAAAATTTTGAGTATATTTAATTTTTGAATTGATTGTTATTTCAGCTGATTAAGATTTAATTAGAAATAAGGGGACGAAATATGGGGCCATCCATAAATAACGTTGCACTATTTTTCACCATTTTCGACTCCTCCCCTCCCCCATGTTGCACATTTTGCATACATTAGCGCCATTTTTTCTATTGAATGTTACAAATTCTTGACCCTCCCCCCTCCCCTTCAAGCGCAACGTAATTTATGGATGGCCCCTTATAGGTAAACGTTAGAAAATGAAAAAAAATAAGGTAAGGGTGACTTTCTGTGAAACCTGATACTAATAAATTTATTATTTAAGGTGCAAGTTCAATGGATGTATCTTTTGCCTATTTTCTCAAGTAAAGATATTGTTGCTCAATTACCTGAGGAAGGAATTTTGTTTTCCGAAGTGGATTCAATGTTTCGTAAAGCAATGAATCAAGTTTTCAGAGAGCCAAGAGTTAAAAACACTGCAGGCTCTGTTCGTAATAATTTACAATCTTTTTTTTATTCTAATTAAATTTTTATTTACATATACCTACACGGAAAAACTTTATTCAAGAATCATTCCTGAATTTGTTCAGGAACTGAGAATATGAGAAAAATTCTGCAAAATTTACAGAAAAATACAAAAATCATTCAAGAAAATATTTGTATTTTTATTATGACATTGGAAGACTTCTTGTTAATGCCGCGATCGGAATATCTCAGTCACTGGGCGTTGAAAGTTTCTTGAACTGTTTTAGAAGACACAGTACAGTAACCAAGCACTAGGCAGGGAATGGTTGCGTCAAATACGTTTCCAATGCATAATACCATAAGCTGCTAAGGTAGCTGAGAGATGTAAAGCGGAGTTTTTGGACTCTCGAGGACGTGGGATCGAGTCCTTCCAGAGTAAATTTATTTTCTCGCAAACGTAAAAATTTATTCTAAAACAAGTTCAAGACTTTCTGTAGTGAGTTTAGGAAGTTGTCTTGAATTTCTCTACAATTCTTATAGAAATACTGCTTAGAATTTTTCAAAGAAAATATAAATAAGATTTCTTAAATTATTCTCATATCCTCAGTTCCTGAACAAATTTAGGAATGATTCTTGCACAAAGTTTTTCCGTATACCTAGTTTAGATATTTTTGCTTTTAGTTATTTCAGATGTAAAAAAAATTTATTTATCAACTTTTTAGTTGGGTCTCTATGAAAGTATGAAAGACGCCAATGAAATAATGGAAAGAGTACACGAAGGTGTTGTGAATTATCTCGAAAAAAAGAGACTTTATTTCCCTCGTTTCTTTTTCCTTAGTAACGATGATATGTTGGAGATTCTCTCTGAAACAAAAGATCCCCTTCGTGTGCAACCTCATTTGAAAAAATGCTTCGAAGGAATTGCCAAACTTGGGTAGTCTATACTTTAGAAAAATGAAATTTAAATAAAAAAATTAAAGAAATAAAAGAAAAGAATTAAATTAAATAAATAAAAATTTGTATATTATAATACTTTCTCCACGAGGAAGCAATAAATAAATTAAATGAATATTTTTTTTGCTTAAAAATATTCTGAAAAATGTTAATTTCTAACTTATTTTTATTTACAGCTTCAACGAGAATTTAGAAATTTTCTCAATGTTTAGTGACGATAGAGAAGAAGTTAAATTGGAAAATATTATTTCAACAACAGCAGCTCGAGGTTGCGTTGAAAAATGGCTTGTGCAGGTATTAATTTTTTTGGAGTAAAATTATTTGAATTTCTCTTAAATAGAAAATTACTATCTTGAAAAGTTGTTACTAATTAGGTGGAAGAACAAATGGTGAAGTCAATAAGACACGAAGTGCTAATGAGCTATCGAGACTATGAAATAAACGAAAGAGTTTCATGGGTTTTACTTTGGCCTGGAATGGTTGTTCTCTGTGTTTCACAAATATATTGGTGCATTGACGTTCAAAATTGTTTGATTACACACATGAAATCTGTTTTGGGATCACTCTATGATAAATTGAAGAAACAGATTTTTGATATGGTAAATCTGGTAAAAGGTAATATTGGATACTGAAATATTTTATATTATTAGAAAAATTAATACAAAAGTAGTAAAAAATAAAATACTATTAAATTATTCTATCATAAAATCTTTTATTATATTAAGTTAACAAATTTCCAAAAGCGACACCGACACCGTGACCTCGACACCGTCCTTGGAAAATCAATTTTCACTTATTTTCAAATAAATGAAAATACTTTGCCATATGCTTTTAGAAAATCTTACATAATTTTTTTTTTTGTAACATGTTTTTTCAATTTTTTAACCCGAAAAAGAGTTATGTTGCATTTTCATCCCAAAAAAAGGGTTATCTTGCAATTTTGTGCGATTTTTTACGAATTTTTTGAATATATACTTTTAAAATTACTCTATTTTTAAAAAGTTACTTATAAACAATTTTTTCAATTTTTTAACCCGAAAAAGGGTTATTTTGCATTTTCATCCCAAAAAAGGGTATAATAATATAATATAATATAATATAATATAATCTTCCTATATTTACAAAAAGATATCGCCGCCGCTGTTTCAAGAATTCTTGACCTAGGAGGGGGGAGTCCCCCCTCCTAAATTTTGAGGTTATGTTCGTTTCAAGGCTCTGAATTTAGCCGCAAGTCCCCCTCCCTCCTCATATTTCCCCTCCTCCGTCAAAAATGACCTAAATTTTGAGGTTATGTTCGTTTCAAGACTCTGAATATAGCCGCAAGTCCCCCTCCCTCCTCTCATTTCCCCTTCTCCGTCAAAAATGACCTAAATTTTGAGGTTATGTTCGTTTTAAGACTCTGAATATAGCCGCAAGTCCCCTCCCCTCCCTCATCTCTCTCTGTATTTCCCGCCAAAAATGACATGAATTTTAAGGTTATGTAAATTTCAAGACTTTCAATATAGCCGCAAGTGAAAGTGGAGTTTCCGCCAAAAATGACTTGAATTTAAAGGTTATGTTCGTTTCAAGACTTTTTAATAATTTATTGGTTGTTAGGCAATTTCATTGAAATTATTTTTAAAAATAATTTCTTAATGTCGATTTTAATTTATTTAATTATTTATTTATTATTAATTTAATTAATTTATTAATTAAAATTTATTAATTTTAATTTTAATAATATTTATTCAGATTTCAATGAATTTGTAATAATACATCGCTAGTAAAAATAAAGATAAAATAGAAAATTGTATATGAAAATTTTTCTAGGACGTTTATCGAAGCAAAATAGAACAACTCTAAACGCTTTAATAACAATCGATGTGCACGCTTATGATGTGGTAAAATTATTGATTGACAAAAATGTGACAAGCGAAACAGATTTTGAATGGTTAGCACAATTACGATATTATTGGGAAGACGATGTTTTTGTGAGAATTATAAATGCAACTGTTTCATATGCTTATGAATATTTGGGAAATTGTCCCCGTTTGGTGATAACTCCATTAACAGACAGGTTTTTAAAAAAATCAAATATTTATAGCAGGGTGTCCATTAAAATTTATGAATAAAATTCTTCTTTTTTTTACAATTTTTTCCCGGGTTTCAAACAAATTTCAAGATTCAGACCATTTAGACATTTAATTATGTAACTTAAATTCTTTCAAAAATTAATAAGATAATTATTAAATTTTGCAAAAAAAAAAAATTGAACATAAAAATTATTATACTATTTGAAAAGATAAATTAATTATAATTAAATTACAAAATAATTGAACTTTACAACAATAGAATTTTTTTAATACATTTAAAGAAAATAAATTTAAAAAATAAATTAGTATCCTTGAACAGCGTAAATTTTAATACCTAAATATTTTAATATTCTGGAATTTTTTAAGTTATTGAATTTTATATTGTTATAATGAATAGTGGAAATGAAATTAAAAATTTGTTGATTTTAAAATATGGGATAAACTTTTCAAAAAATTTAGGTTTTTAAAGAAAAGAATCAGATAAATTAATCAAAACAAAAAGTTAGAATGTCTTATCCTTGAAATTTAATTTGTAAGAAAAATTTTAACAGAAATTTTCCTGCCTTTTATAAAAAAAACACATTTGCTACATTGTTCTAAATTTGTGAATTATTGTAACGTAAATATTTTTTTTTTTTTTTTTGTAAAAATCGAAATTTGATCAAAAATTGTGATAACTAAATAGTTTGAAATGATTTTAATAAATCTGGATACTATTTTTTTTTTTTAACTTCAAATTTTATTATAAAATAATTTCTCCAAAAAAATTTGATTTCACAGTTCTGGGTCAAATTTTAATTTTTTCAAAAAAACTTTTAACGTCATTGTACAGTAAAAATCTATTTCAATTAATTATATACAAGTTTTAATTTAAGGGGAGGGATCATTTAAATTTCAGCTATTCGAGATTAATGTTGTTAAAATGTAATTTTTTTTTTGACATATTATTTAGAATCTAAAATTATTATATATTATTTTAAAATTTTTTAAAATTTATTTTTGTCCATTTTGGAAATTTGATTTTTTTTCCAAAAATTAAAATTTTTTAGAATTCATACGGTTGATTGTCCAAAATCATGAAAAAAAAACGTATAACAAAATTTATCGATGAAAAATGAAATCAAAATTGTGGAAGAAGTTGAATTTTTTTTAAATAACCACTTGTAAAATTGAAATCAATCAAAAATAACCTTGTTTAGGAGTAAACAATTTTTTTTTTTTGCATTTTTTCAGAACCTAAAATCACATTTCACTATGAAAAATATAAAAGTAATTTTTAACAATTTTATAAATTTTTTTTGTTTTTCAAAATTTTCATTTTCTCAAAAAATTAAAATTTCTCAAAATCCATACGCTTGATTGTTTAAAATCATGAAAAAAGCCTGTAAATAAAAATCGGCAATGAAAAATGAAAGAGACTCACGGTGCGCCAGAAGGAGGTTTAAATAAAAATGAATTGGCACTTAAAAATTCTTTTTGATTATGGTTCTAAGATGAATAAAAAACTTTTCTCAATGGGTTTTAAAATCAGCTTACGTGCCCAATTTAAAACAAATTGAGTTTTAAATATTTAAAAATAGTATTTTATGAGGAACCAGAATTTATTTAATGTATACTTGTATGCGTATAGATAATAGATGTTTTAGATTTGGGTTCATATAAATTTATTAACAATGAAGTTATTTTCTTGTTTCGTTTTTATATTTATGCATTAAGAGTGTCGAACGGTATCTGAAATTCTTTGTCAAGAAGAGAGCTTTAATTATCGCTCTGAACGTGAAATAGTATTGATTTAAAAATACTTTTTTCTCGAAACACGAACACTTTTAACAAAATCAGCCAAAATCCTCATCTTATAAATTTCCTAAATCCAAAAGACTGTACGAATCCATAGAAAAACATGGTTGCAAAACAAAAAGTAGAAAAGTAATCTAATAACAGCTGCGACTTTGTGCGCCCTGCATGCTGCTGCCATCTGACGGCGACAGGAGGTAATGTACCTGTCTTTATATTACTTTTCGTTTTGCAATCATGTTTTTGTATGGATTCGTATAATCTTTCGGATTTAGGAAATTTATATAAGATAACGATCTCTAGCTGCTTTTGTAAAAAGTGTCCGTCTTTCGAGAAGAAAGTATTTTAAAATCAATGTTTATCATTTTCACGTTTAGTGCCATTTTTATAGAGCGATAATTAAAGGTCTCTTCTTGCCAAAAAATTTCAGAGACCATTCGACTCTCTTAAATAAATTTTGTCACTCTTAAAATCGTTCTTTTAACATTATAATTTAATTTTTTAAAATCGGACACAAACACCACAGCAATTTAATTATTTATATAAAAATTGAAAATAAGTAATTATTTTATCATTTATTGCAGTATTTATAAGATTAAATAAATTCTGATTCCCCATAAAACACTGTTTTTATATAAAAACTCAATTTTATTTAAATCGGGCACGTAAACTGATTTTAAGAATTATTGATAAATGTTTTTTATTCATCTAAGAATCATAATCAAAAAGAATTTTTAAGTGCCAATTCATTTTTATTTAAACCACCTTCTGGCACACCGTGGACTGTGAGAGAAGTTCAAAATTTTAATTTTCGAGAATTTTTAGTTTTATTTGAAAATATATTAACAAATGAATTGTTTTTTAATTTTTCATATATTATAATTTTAATTACTCAATATTGTCAGAAAAAAAAATTAACAACCCTAAACAACATTAATTTCGATGTATTAAAATTTCACTGATCCGTTTTCATAAAAAATCGTGTCGTTTTCTCTATTTTCAAGTCGTATGAGTCACCCCTTTTATATTTAGAAAAAATATAATTGAGACAATAAAAATTTGTTAATTAACAAAATTTTTTAATTAATTTTTTTTTAGATGCTATCGCACATTAATTGGAGCCTATTCATTGCATTTGAATGGAGCCCCTGAAGGTCCAGCAGGAACGGGAAAAACTGAATCAGTAAAAGATCTCGCGAGAGCACTTGCAATTCAATGTGTTGTTTTCAATTGTTCCGAGGGTCTTGATTATAAAAATATGGGAAAATTCTTCAAGGGTCTCGCATCTTGTGGCGCATGGGCCTGTTTCGATGAATTCAATCGAATTGAACTCGAAGTATTGTCAGTTGTGGCACAACAAATTCTTTGTATCATACAAGCAGTTCGGGGAAATTTTGAAAAATTTCTATTCGAAGGCACCGAACTGACATTGAATCCTGCCGTTTATGTTTGCATTACAATGAATCCAGGTTACGCTGGAAGATCTGAACTTCCTGATAATTTGAAAGTTCTCTTTAGAACTGTTGCAATGATGGTACCCGACTATGCAATGATTGGCGAAATATTTCTCTACTCTTCGGGATTTACAAATGCAAGAGTTTTATCGGTGAAAATTGTCACAACTTATAAACTCTGCTCGGAGCAACTTTCTTCACAATCACATTATGATTATGGAATGAGAGCGGTGAAAACAGTTTTAACAGCAGCACAAAATATGAAATTAAAATATCCCAATGAAAATGAAATGATTCTTATGTTGAGATCAATTATTGATGTTAATTTACCGAAATTTCTTGATCATGATGTTCCACTATTTGATGGGATAATAACTGATCTTTTTCCCGAGACAAAATTACCGGCGCCTGATTATGAAATATTTTTAAAGGCCATTAGATTAGTGATGGAGAGAAAAAATTTACAACCAGTCGATGGTTTTTTGTTGAAAATTATTCAAATTTTTGAAATGATGATTGTTAGACATGGTTTTATGTTGGTAGGCGAACCTTGTGGTGGAAAAACAACTTGTTTGCGTACTCTTGCTGATAGTTTGACATTGATGCATGAATGGGGTGATGAGAATGGTGCGAGAACAAAATTTTTCACAATCAATCCAAAAGCAATTACAATGGGTCAACTTTATGGACAATTTGATGCTGTATCTTCGGAATGGACTGATGGAATTTGTGCTGTGGCTTTTCGTGATTATTGCTCGGATGAGAGTGCTGATAGAAAATGGTTAATTTTTGATGGACCCGTCGATGCTGTTTGGATTGAAAATTTAAATACAGTTCTCGATGATAATAAAAAATTGTGCCTCACATCGGGTGAAGTTATGCAAATGACAAATGTAATGTCAATGATATTTGAGGCAATGGATCTTCTTCAGGCATCACCTGCCACTGTTTCGCGATGTGGAATGATTTACATGGAACCACATATTTTAGGATGGCGACCTTATGCAAAATCTTGGATCAATAATATTGATTTGCGTTGGAAGGTGGGAAATGAAGATCTTTTAAATGAAATTTTTGAATGGCTCATTGATCCTTGTTTAGAATTTGTTCGTAAAAAATGCCGTCTCACAGTAACAGCTGGTCAAATTAATCAAGTGATGTCGACTCTAAATTTACTTGAAATGTACATGAATGATGCAATTGATGAAGCACAACATGAATATGAGGATTACATTGTTTCTTGGATTCAAGCTTCAACATTATTGGCAATAGTTTGGGGAATTGGTGGAACATTGGATTTGGATTCACGAGATGCTTTTAATGAATATTTTTTAAATTTCTGGAGAAATGAACAACCGCCTGCAAAAATAGTGGAAACATTAATTTCAATGCCAAATGATGGATTGATTCACGATAATTATTTTATTTTTAAAGGAAAGGGAGCGTGGAAAAATTATGGAGATTTGGCGAAAGTTGAGAAATTTATTGAAACTGAAAGTATCGGTCAAATGATGATTCCAACTATTGATACAATGAAATATCAGAATTTATTTTTGCGACATATAAAGTGTAAAAAGAGATTTCTTTTGTATGGCGAAACTGGAACGGGAAAAACTTTTTATATTCAAAATTTAATGATGAATAAATTGGAAGAGGAGAAATATGCTTCGAATTTTATTACATTTACGCCAAAAACAACTGCTGCTCAAACGCAGGAATTGGTGATTTCAAAACTTTTTAAAAGAAGAAAAGGTCACTATGGACCAATGGGAGGAACGCATTGTTTGGTTTTTATTGATGATGTTAATATGCCAAGTAAAGAAGTTTATGGCGCTCAACCACCAATTGAATTGTTGAGACAATTTTTTGATCATGAACAATGGTAATTATTACTATATAGTAGAATTATTTGACAAGTTTCAGGCTTCGGACTTTTTCAACTTTTGATAAACTTTTTTTTTCAAAAATACGACTTTTTTCGACTTTTTTTAACATTTAAAAAAAAAAATTTAAACAAAATACGCCTTCTTTAGCATACAATGCAGATCTTCTTCAGCTCTTCTTTATTTCAATTATTCGACAAATTTTTAACTAAAATTTTTTTCTAAATTAATTATTTTTAATAATTTTAATGAAATTCTTCACAAATTCAATTATTTTAAATTATTTTTCAATTAAACATTTTATGAAACTGAACAATTCTTTACAATTTAAAAAAAAAACAAATAAAATTACTAAAAATTTCACTTTAAAACCTTTTAAAATTCAATTATTTGTAAAGTTTTCCATTTACAACTTTTTGAAATTTAATATTTTCAATGATAACTCTTCCGAAATTCAATTATTTTTAATGATTTTTATAATATTCTTCGATAATCCTATTATGTGAAAGCATTTTTGAATTGAAAAATATTTTTTAATTCAATTTTTCTCAGCAATTTCTATTACATTTTTCAGCAAAAGAAATCATCAAAAATTTAAATTAAAAATCACTTCAAGTTCGCAATTAATTTCAAAAACTTTAATTTAACTTTCTAAAATTTAATTATTTTTAACAAATGTCCAGGCCTCGGATTATACGACTTTTTTTACATTTTTTTTTATTTTAAACAAAATACTTTTTTTTTAGTATATAATGCAGATCTTCTATATTTCAATTATTTAACAAATTTTTAACAAAAATTCTTCACTAAATTAATTATTTTCATTTAATTTTAATGAAATTCTTCACAAATTCAATAATCTTAAATTATTTTTCAATTAAAACTTTTAAAAAAATTTAATAATTGCTTATAATTTTAAAATAATTGTGTCAAATAAAAGTAGGTACCAAAAATTTTTAATTCAAAATCACTTGAAATTTAATTATTTGCAAAATCTGCAATTTCTGCAATTTCTAAATAAATTTTTTAGTAACAGAAATCATCAAAAAAATTTTAAATTAAAATCCACTTGAAGTTCAATTAATTTCAAAAATCTAAATTGTAACTCTTTGAAAATTTAATTACTTTTAAAAAATGTTATCTAAAATTATATGATAAATTATTTTTAGTTCTGTAAAATTTAATTATTGTCTGAAAATTAACAAAAAATCTTTTAAAATTCAATTATTTCTAAAAATTTCAACTTTAATTCTTCCAAAATTATTATTTAAAAAAATTTTTTTTTTATAAAAATCTGTAAAACTTGATTAAGTATTGCCTGAAATTTTTTTTGACCATAAAAACTAAAAACCATGACAAAATTTTTAATTCGAATAAATTGCTAAAAATTAGACTTGAAAGAATTATAAAAAATGGAACTTTAAGAATTTTTTTTTAGAAATTTGTCCTACTTAAATAAAATTTTGAAAATTTGTTTTACAATTAGTTCGATTTTGAAATATTCGAAATAAATTTTCCTGATAATATTTGTATAGAATTAATCTTATTAAAGAAATTAATAAAATGAAGTCAGTAGCGATTTTATTTTTTTTTAATTTTTTATTATAATTGGATAAAATTTTTAGTAAAACTAAGTGTAAATGCGAGTTGAAAAAAATAATTTTAGTGAAAGAGATAGAGTACAAATGAGATCAGAAATGATTTTTCCCAAATTCAAAATGGCGTTTCCATAATGGCAGCAAAAAGTGTACAAATTTTAAAATTCGATCAATTTTTAAAAAATTCTCCGCCATATTGGATCCGCTATTTTTAATTACGAAAAACTAACATCATAATCATAATAACACAGGAACACAAAAAGTAAAATGTGGTTTGGCCGAGACACTACACTAGTCTATTTTCATGTATTTTTTCACGCTGAATCCGAATCCGAAGTCAGAATTATCAGATTGGCTTATATTTTTGAGATAAACTCAAAAAACTGCTCAGAAAGAAAAATCAAATCAAAAAGTTAAAAAATTTTTGAATATCACTGCGATAGTGTAATTCCATGTATTTTTTGTCGCTGAATCCGAGTCCACAGTCAGAATTGTTAGATTCGCTTAAATTTTTGAGATAATTGCAAAAAAACGCAAGTAACAAAAAACTCAAAATACTCAAAATCAGTTTTTTTGGAATTATCTTCAAAATTTGAGCCAATTTGTCAATTCTGACTTCGAATTCAGATTCAGCGTGAAAAAATACATAAAATGCACTATCGTAGTGTTTCGGCAAAAAAAAATTTCTTTGAGCTAAAATTGCGATAAACTGATAAAAATTCTGAATTAGGGGCACAGATAATTTTTTTTGCCGAAACACTACGATAGTGCATTTTTATGTATTTTTTCACGCTGAATCCGAATTCGAAGTCAGAATTGACAAATTGGCTCAAATTTTGATGATAATTCCAAAAAACTAATTTTAAGTATTTTGAGTTTTTTGTTACTTGCGTTTTTTTGCAATTATCTCAAAAATTTTAGCGAATCTAACAATTCTGACTTTGGATTCCGATTCAGCGACAAATATTACATAGGATTACACTATCGCAGTGACATTCAAAAATTTTTTAACTTTTTGATTTTATTTTTCTTTCTGAGCAGTTTTTTGAATTTATCTCAAAAATAAAAGCCAATCTAATAATTCTGACTTCGGATTCGGATTCAGCGTGAAAAATACATGAAAATAGACTAGTATAGTGTCTCGGCCAAACAGCTTTTTATTTTTTGTCTGCCTGTGTAATTAGCAACTAATTTCAATAAATTTCTCATTTTTTTCAATCTAAAATGATTAATTTGATAATTTATTTATATAGGTTTGATTTGAAAGAACCATTGATGATACAAATTTACGATATAATGTTCATGTGTGCAATGGCACCACCGGGTGGAAGTCGACAAGAAATATATCACAGATTTTTGAGACATTTTAATTTATATTCAATCAACAATTTCTCGAAGGAAAGTATTTTTAAAATATTTACAAGTGTAGCTTTAATTGGCCTCAAACGAAATGGATTTGCCACTGATATTCTCATGACAATAAATAGTATTGTCAATGCTACAATAATAGTTTTTAACAGTGCAATCAGTGATCTAAGACCAACACCAGCGAAATCACATTATCTTTTTAATTTAAGAGATTTTTCCCGTATCATCACTGGATGCACTATGATCAAAAAAGAGTCAGTTGAAACAAAAACAATTTTCATTCGACTATGGGTTCATGAGATTTTACGTGTTTTTGGAGATCGTCTCATTGATATTAATGATCGTGTTTGGCTTTTTAAGAATATTAAAGAAACAGTTTTTGATGTTTTTAAAGAAACATTTGATCATATCTTTGATGATTTACCCAAATTTAATGGACAATTAACTGAAGAGAGTATGAAAAGTTTAATATTTGGTAATTTTATGGATGTCGATGCAATACAGGAGGAGAGAAAATATGAGGAAATTGTGTCAATGGAAGAATATAAAAATGTTGCACTTTCTTGTTTGGAGGATTATAATAATACTCATAGAAATAAAATGAATATTGTTTTGTTTCGATATGCTCTTGAGCATCTTGCTCGTATTTGTCGAATTATTGCCATTCCTAATGGAAGTTTATTGATGGTAGGCGTTGGAGGCTCTGGTAGACAATCTTTAACAAGACTTGCAGCTAGTAACTTTTTTTTTTTCTAAAAAAAAAAAACCTATATACAAGAACGGATCAATCTCAAATTATTTATTTATTTTTTATTTCTATGATTTATGTGCTTGAAGCTCTTAAAAATTTGTTAAAATGGTTTAAAGTGTTTTTTGTTTTGGTTCGTTGTGAGCTACAGATTTTCAAAATTGCTTTTATTTTTTCAAAAATCTATAAAATTTTTACTCACTGTTGACGTTGTTTGACTCTGATTTAAAAATTATAAAAATTATGCAGGCAGTCCGATGGTATATTGAGAATTAAGTTCACAATAAAATAAGTTAAATTATAATTTATATATAATTTCTTTTTAAACGAGTTTTTAGTCAACAGATTTTTTAGGTACCGAATTTTTCTTTAACAGAATTTTTATTTTATAAAATTTCTTTTTACCAAACTTTTTATTTTATTTATTTAACATAATTTTAAGTCAGTAGAATTTTTAAATGCCAGAATTTTGAATTGAATGAATCTTCATTTTTTGAATTTTCCGAAATTGAAAATGACTTAACAAATAATTGACAAAAAAATTTCAGGACGAAGAATTTTATGAAATAACAATTTTTGCAAATTCAAATTCAGACAAATAAAGATTCGGTGAATTGGAAATGTTGGCATTTAAAAATTCGAATCACTTAAAATTCTGTTAAGTGAGAATTCTGATAAATTAATATTCAGTTAAAGTAGCATTTTTTAAAAATAACAGTTGGATAAAGAGAAATTTTTTAAAATAAAAATTCTGTCAAACAAAATTTTGGTACCTAAAAATTAGTTTAAAAAGAAATTTTTGTCAAATATTAGATTGAGGAATGAAAATTCGTCTAAAAAGTAATTAAATGAAAAAAAATTCTTCAAAATGAAAATTTTAACTAATGATTTTTAAGCGAAATTCATGTGTCTAATGTAAATTATAATAGAATTATTTCCTTACTTTTTTTTTGTAATTTTTACGGATATTTTAAGATTGTTAAAAAAATATTTTTCTCCAATTTTTGTTTTGTTTTAAATCTCATAACTTATATAATTTTTAAAATGTGTTTTTTTAGAAAAAAGTAAAAAAAAACATATTTCTGTAAAAACCACCTTTTTTTCTCTTTAAATTTTCAGAGTTTGCAAGTACTTATACGTACTATTTACGACAAAATTGTTAGCAGGTATTTTTTTTGTTTCTTAGCAAAATAAAATTATTTTTAATTCTATTTTCATTTTAAAAATTATTTTTAATTTTTTTTTTAAGAAAAAATTGGAGAAAACTATTTTTTTCTTGCTAAAATCTTAAAATAAAATATTCATAAAAAATACAAAAAAATATTATAAAAATTTGAGACGCATGAATGAGCTCTAAAATTAATTTGTTAGAATGTTTATTTAACAGAATTTCATTACCTAGAATTTATTAATAGCCGAATTTTTATTTTCTATTAAAAATTTTTTTTTATAGAATTTTAAGAATTTAAAAATGAAATAATCTGAAGTTATTTACGAAATTATGATTGGTTAATTTTAAAATTCGTGACAAAATCTTTCTGTCGATTGTCAATTTTTTTCTGGCATTATTTGGGATTTAAAATTATTATGTATTATTAAATTTAAAAATAAGAAGATTTTTTGAGCATTTGAGAAATTTTATTTTTCGAAAATATTAGGTAGCATTTTTCAAAATCCATACCATTGATTATCCAGAATTATGAAAAAGCCTACATAAAAATTGTTTATAAAGAATAATAAAAATTGTTCAAAATGTTGAATTTTTTAAAAATTAAACCAAACATTGAAATTTAAACCAAATATAATTGATCTATTGTTTCGGGGTAATAATTTTTTTTTTTTGCCATACGAGTAATTATTCAGAATCGTGAAAAAAGCGTAAAAAAAATCTTCAATGAAAAATAATAGAAATTGCGACAGAAGTTAAAATTTTTATTTTGTGAAAATTTCTAGTTTTATTGAAAAAATTATTATTGAATTAATCGTTTCTTAATTTTCCATAGTATAGATATTATAGTTTTAAATATTCAATATTGCCAGAAAAAAAATTGACAATCATAAAAACAGCATTAATTACAATAGGTTGAAATTTCACCTGTCCCTCCCCTTAAATAATAATTCAAATTAATAAAAATTTGTTAAAAAATAAATTCTAGGTAATAAAATTCTGTTAAATGAAAATTCTAACAAATTAATTTTATGGCTTATTTATGCGTTCCAAAAATTTAAAAAAACGTGTTTCTTTATTTTTCAAGTAGAAACCCACATTTTATTTTTTATAAAATTAATTCTCAATATACCATCGGAATGCCTTCATGATTTGTGATGGATCCGGTCGCAATTTATTTTTACATAAAGAAATTTATACAATTTTTTTTTTTTTTTTCAATTTTAGGTATGGCTGGTTATGGACTATTCCAACCAGAAATAGGCAGTGCCTATGGTGTTAATGAATGGCGAGATGATTTAAAGAAAATTTTAAAAAATTCCGGAGGTACTGGAAAAGATTTAGTTTTTCTTTTCACCGAAGGTCAAATTAAAGAGGAAATTTTTCTCAACGACATTGATAGTCTTTTAAATTCCGGTGAAGTACCAAATCTATTTACAATTGAAGAGAAACAAGAAATAATAGAAATGACAAGATTAGCGGCTCAAGGGGGAAATCGAAATTTGGACATATCAATTATGTCGGTACTTGGATTTTTTGTAAATCGTTGCCGTGAAAAATTACACATTATGATTTGCTTTAGTCCCGTTGGTGAATCATTTCGCACGCGATTACGTCTTTATCCAAGTTTAGTTAATTGTTGTACAATTGATTGGTTTGAAATATGGCCTGAGGATGCATTGGAGCAAGTTGCTGTAAGATTTATTACTGATTTAAATGTCAATGAGAATGTGAAAACAAATGCCGTTGTTGCTTGTAAATATTTTCACATTTGCGCAAAAGATATTAGTAATCGATTTTATGAAGCATCTGGAAGAAAAACTTACATCACTTCTGCTGCTTTTTTGGATCTGATTAAGGCTTATAGAGATTTGACGAATTTAAAACAAGAAGAACTTATACTTGCCAGGTAGAAATTTGTAAAAATAAAAATTCTATAAAATTGATATGTCAAATAATTTTTTTTCAGAGATCGTTATCTGAATGGTTTGGATAAATTGGACTATGCTGCTCAACAAATTGAAAAAATGAAAAAAACTCTTTCTGCCTTAAGACCCGAACTTGAAAATTCAGCCAAATTGACAACAGTAACGATGCAAAAAATTGAGAGTGAAAATATTGCTGTTGAAGAGGCAACAATTTTAGTGAAGAATGATGAAATAGTGGCAAATGAACAAGCAAAAATAGCGGGAGCTTTGAAAGCAGAATGTGAAACAGATTTGGCTGAAGCTCTACCAATTCTTGAGGAAGCAATAGGTATTTTCATCGAAGAGAAAAAAAATGATTGTCTATTTATATTAAATTTTTTAAATCTAATTTTTATAGCTGCCTTAAATACATTAAAACCTGCGGACATAACATTGGTGAAATCAATGAAGAATCCTCCACAGGGTGTTAAACTTGTAATGGCAGCAATTTGTGTTATGTTAAATGTTCCTCCTGATAGATTAAATGATCCATCAAGTGGTCGAATAATTTTAGACTATTGGGGTCCAAGTAAAAGAATTCTCAATGATATTGAATTTTTGCATTATTTACGAGATTATGACAAGGATAATATTCCAATTCAAACAATGCAGGTAATTAAAGGTTAAAAGTATATTTTAAACCCGTTTTTTAAAATTGTTTGTTCATTAATTCTGAACCAATTATGTTACACGTTTTTCAGGTCTGAAAAAGAAAAAGACGACTATTAATCTTGCAGAAAATTTACATAAATGGATATTAAGGGGTTAGGGGTAGTCAGAATTTTCAAAAAATCAAATTTTTTTTTTTTGCATTTTCGTTAAGTAAAATATCTTAAAAATAATCTCTGAAAATTTCAAGTTAATCCGATAATTCGTTTTTAAGTTATTCGACAAATAACAAAGAGAGCTCGGGCCTTTTAAAGCGCTCGCGAGCGCTTGCAGCTAGTGTCAGCTGCAAGAAATCGGCTTTTAGGGTTCTATTGTCATCGATGAACTTAGACTTGGGTATATGTAGTAGTACCTAAATTAATATGGCCCAGGAATAGATGACTCGGTGTAAGTAATTTAATAATTCGTTTTTTTGTACGTAAATCTAGTGTGAAACTAAACGCGTTTTTCTCAAAACTATGTTTTTTGAACTGGTGACAACTATAACTCGAAAACCGCTCAGTCGATTTTAATGAAATTTATACAGCTTTTAGAATACATAATAAACTCGGGCCTGATCGAAGGATTTTTTTTTTTTTGAAAAATTTCGATTTTTTAAGACCAATTAAATGTTGATTTTTTCCCAAAAATCTAGACAAAAATTTCCTGAGGCCGCCATTTTGTTAATTTTTGAAAAAAAAAAAAAATCCTTCGATCAGGCCCAGGATTATTTATTTATAAAACTAATTTTTTTTATCCGATTGATTTCTGATTAATCTCCAAGGACTTATGATTGTCACCGCAAGGACCTTTTTTTGGAACTGGGTTAACACAAACAGCTGTAACTTCGGAAATAAAAATTTTTTTTTTTTTAAATTTTCGTGACTTCAAGTCAAAACATTGTTTAATAATACCATATTACTACTTTTGTAAAATAAAATTATTTAATAGCAAAAAAAAATACTGAAAATTCTCATTTTTTCGTGCCTCTGACTACCCCTAACCCCTTAATAGATAAATATTGAAAAAATAATGTACAAAAGTACTTGTAATATTGTCAAAAACGACGATTTTTATGAAATATTAATATTTTGTGCTATCAGTGCAATACTGTACATGTGGTCCTGTGGGTAAAAGTAATCTTCTTTACCGACTTTTGATATTTACTTGTTGACTATTTTTGAAGAAGGAAATAAATTAAATTATTTTTATTGATATAATTATTGTAATTCTATTTATTTTCATATAATTTATTTGTTATCTTTTTCAAAAATATAAATTTTAAACTAGTAAACATGAAAAGTCGGTAAAGAAGATTACTTTTACCCACATTTACAGTATTGCACTGACAGTAAAAATGTAATATTTCATAAATATTCAATATTTTAAACAATTTTGGTACTTTTAAACTTCATTATTTCAATATTTATCTATTAATATCCGTTTTTTTAAGTTTTCTGTAAGATTGAGTCGTCTTTTCCTTTTTAAGGGAACTTTACGCGTCCACCCTTAAGGCCAACCCAGAATAAAAACATAACCGCTAACGTAACCGGAATAATTAGTTAGAGAAGGATAAACAATATGTCTACCCTTCTCTAACTCATTCTTCCGGTTGCGATTACGATTCTGGTTACGTTTTTATTCTGCTCAGGCCTTTAGCTTCGTAACATAACCTCAAACTAAAAAATGATTTTTCACGATTTTCAATGAATTTTAAAATTTATTACTCCAAATTTTAAATGATTTACTTGTACAATTAAAAAAAATTGAGTCAAAATTTATTTATTATATTTATTTATTTATTATTATTATTTATTTATTTATTTCAAAATTGAGTCACCATATAATAGGAAATAATTATCATTTGTTTGTTTTTTCTTAAAAATTATGCAACAATTGTAATTTTTTATTCAATTTTTATAAACAATACTAGCTCCTTTTTTCAACCCTTTCATGGATTAACCCATCGGTTGGATTTTTATGAAACTTGTTACTCGGGGATTTTTGGGGTCGCTGATTCCGAATTTAAAGTCAGTTTTTCAAAATTCAATATGGCGCATTCAATAAGGCGGACTTTTTTTTCAAAATTGCTCATATTTGCTTGAAACTCACCACTTGGGGATTTTTGGGGTCGCTGATTTTGAATATGAAGTCATATTTTCAAAATTCAAAATGGCGGATCCAATATGGCGGATTTTTTTTTCAAAATTGCTCATAATTGCTTGAAACTTATATAACTCGGGGGTTTTTGGGGGTCGTTGATTCCGAATCTGAAGTCAAACATCAACTTTAAACAAAAAATATAAAAAAGTGAAATAATTATTATTTAACAACAAATATTTTTGCAAAATAATTTATTTTGAAAATTGTAAAACTGAATTTTTCAAAATTTGATAAAATTAATTTTATTTATAATTTTATTTGTTGTTAAAAACAACTTTTTAGTTTGAGGTTATGTTAAAGGTCTAAGCACAGGCCCTTAAGCCGAGACTAGCTCAATAAATCTTTTTTTACTGACAATAAATTTTATCAGCGATCATTTTACGGATAAACAATAAAAAATTAAATATTTATATTTAAAAATTTCGTTTTACAATAAAGATGAAAAATTTTTAACAGTTAATAAAACGTGTTTATCTAACGGATAAAAATTTTGAGCCACGTATTGTTGCAAAAGCCTCTTCAGCCGCTGAAGGTCTTTGTAAATGGGTGCGTGCCATGGTTCTCTATGATAAAGTTGCCAAAGTGGTAGCACCAAAACGAGAGAAACTCGCTGAAGCAGAAAAATCATTTCAAAAAATTATGAATATTTTAAATGAAAAACGTCAAGCATTAGCTGAACTCAATGAAAAATTAACAGCACTTAATGTCAGTCTCCAAAATATTCTAGCAAAGAAAATAGATCTTGAAAATCAGGTAAAAATAATAAAAATTCAAAAACAAAAAAAAAATGATTTAAAATATTCATCTTAAATAATAATAATTCAACATTAATTTTGTTTCAATAAGGTGACAAATTGTAAAAATAAATTAATGCGAGCTGAAAAATTAATAAGCGGATTAGGTGGTGAAAAAGAACGTTGGATTATTTGTGCAGAAAATCTGCAAAAAGCCTTTGACACTTTACCAGGCGATATATTAATTTCCTGTGGTATGATTGCATATTTAGGACCATTCACAACAGCATATCGATTAGAAAATATCGAAAAATGGCGAATATATGTGAAAAGTTTAAAGATACCCTGCTCGGAGGAATATAATTTCATTGATGTTCTTGGATCAGAAATAAAAATAAATTCTTGGAATATCTTTGGATTGCCACGTGATTCATTTTCAACGGAAAATGCAATTATAATGGACAATTCAATGCGATGGAGTCTTTTTGTTGATCCACAGAGTCAAGCAAATAAATGGATTCGACATATGGAGAAATCAAGTGAATTAGAAGTTGTTAAATTGACAGATTCTAATTATATGGATATTATTGAACAATGCATTGAATATGGAAAACCGATTTTAATTGAAAATATCGGTGAAACACTTGATCCATCATTGGATCCAATTTTAATGAAAAATATTTATAAAATTGCCGGTATTTGGTATATTAATTTAGGTGAAAAGAGTATAGAGTATAATATAAAATTTCGTTTTTATATGACAACAAAATTACGAAATCCCCACTATTTACCAGAGGTTTATAATAAAGTAACTTTAATTAATTTTGCATTGACAATTGAAGGATTAGAGGATCAATTATTGGGTATAGTGGTGGCAAAAGAGAGGCCTGATCTTCAAGAAAAACGAGAATATTTAATTGTACAAAGTGCTGCAAATAAGAAAGCTCTAAAACAAGTTGAAGATCATATTTTAAAAACATTATCAGTTTCAGGAGCAACTATATTGGAAGATGAGGAGGCTATTGAAATTTTAGATTCATCGAAAATTCTTTCAATTGATATAATCAAGAAACAAGAATCTGCAAAAGAAACTGAAGCTAAAATTGAAAATTTTAGACAGAGTTATAGGCCAATAGCAAAACATGTTTCTTCACTTTATTATACAGTAACAGATCTACCGAATATTGATCCAATGTATCAATATTCATTAGCTTGGTTTATTAATCTTTATATCTTGTCGATTGACACTGCGAGTAAAAGTAAAATTCTAGAGAGAAGATTACACTTTTTAAGAGAAGCTTTCACTTACAATTTATATCAAAACGTCTGCCGTTCGTTATTCGAAAAGGATAAGGTCAATATTCAAAAAAAATCCATATATGGGGGTATTCTTTGTCAAAAAGACACCCTCTCTGTTCAGGATAGATTTAATTACATAAAACTCTATATGGGCTTAAATTGCAGCAAATTTTGTCCATTTTTTGATGCCTTATGGCACTTTTTAAATATTAAACATGGGGGACCACAAATGTTTAAAAAAAACTTTCAATATTATCGAAAAAGGAAATACATTTTTTTAATACAAGGTTAAATACCGGCACAGAAATCTACATTATCGACTCATGGTAAAAGCAGAAAAATAATGATATAAAAATTATCGACATAGAAATCTACATTACCGACTGATGGTAAAAGCAGGATAATGATGATAAAAAAATTACCGATATAGAAATCTACATTACCGACAGATGGTAAAAGAGAAAAATTAAAATATAAAAATCACTGACACAGAAATCTTTATTACCGATTCTTCCTCTTTACCATTAGTCGGTAATGTAGATTTCTATGTCGGTAATTTTTATATTTTCATTTTACCATCAGTCGGTAATATAGATTTCTATGTCGGTAATTTTTATGTCATCACTATCCTGCTTTTACCATCAGTCGGTAATGTAGATTTCTATGTCGATAATTTTTATATAATTATTTTTCTGCTTTTACCATCAGTCGATAATGTAGATTTCTGTGCCGGTAATCGATTTTTTATTTTTAAAAAAATAAGTTTTAACCTTGTATTAAAAAAATGTATTTCCTTTTTCGATAATATTGAAGGTTTTTTTTTAACATTTGTGGTCCCCCATGTTTAATATTTAAAAAGTGCCATAAGGCATCAAAAAATAGAGAAAATTTGCTGTAATTTAAGCCCATATAGAGTTTTTTGTAATTAAATCTATCCTGGACAGATGGGGTGTCTTTTTGACAAAGAATGCTCCATATAAATTATAATAATTTATCTGCTTTATTTTTTATATTTATATTCTTTTACAGCTTTTGTACTCGTTTGTTTTGTGTACAACAATTTTACTTGCAAATGAAGAAATTAATCGAGATGAAATCATATTTTTCCTTACCGGTGGTATTCCATTGGGAAATGAATTAGAAAATCCAGCATCAAATTGGCTATCTGATAAATCATGGGATGAAATATGTCGCGTTGGTACATTACGTTCATTTGTAAATTTCAAGGATAGCTTCATAAAAAATATAAATATTTGGCAAAATTTCTACGATTTAATGAATCCACAAAATTCTTCACTACCAGAACCGTGGGAAAAAAATTTAACAATATTTCAAAAATTAATTATTATGAGATTAATAAGACCAGATAAGGCTGTTGCAAAAGTAAGAAAATCATAATATAGTCATCAGAAAAATTTTAATAATTATTCACTGTATTAATATATTTCAGGTGATGCAATTTGTGGAAATAGCAATGGGAATGAAATTTGTAACACCACCAGCATTTGATCTTGTAAAATCGTACGCTGATTCAAATTGCTTGAATCCTTTGATTTTCATTCTTTCATCTGGATCAGATCCAATGAGTTCATTGTCGAATTTTGCTGATAATATGGAATATACATCGAGATTTACTTCTATTTCCCTTGGACAAGGTCAAGGTCCAATTGCACGAAAACTCATTGAACAAGCACAAGCTGATGGTTCATGGGTTTGTCTTCAAAATTGTCATCTCGCTGTCTCGTGGATGCGGGAACTTGAAAAAATATGTGAATCATTTGACACAAGAAATACTTCTGTCAATTTTCGTCTTTGGCTAACTAGTTATCCTTCGGATAAATTTCCAATTACTGTTTTGCAAAATAGTGTGAAAATGACAAATGAACCACCTACAGGACTTCAGTCGAATTTACTACGGTTAGTTAGTATATTTATTATATTGAACTTTGGCTTTTAATTCAAAAATTTTAATCTCTATGAGTAAATTTAGAAAAATAAATGTCTCTTTGCGAGGAAGAAATACTAAAGAAAAAAAAATTGAAGATTATAACTTAACAGCGGTATTTATATTCTCCTTTATAGGGGAGGATGGGGTAAGGATAGTTAGGTAAGACATTTTTGGATCTATACACGGAAAAAAAGAAAAAGTAACTTTTACTACTTTAAAAGTAAAATTGGACCTGTCCGAAGTTTCTGCGCATCTCTGGCAACTTTTACTCCAAAAATAGTAAAATTTACTTCAGAAATAGTAAAAATTACTACGGAAACAGTAAAATTTACTACAGAAATAGTCAATTTTACTATTTTTCGAGTAAAAGTTGCCAGAGATGCGCAGAAACTTCGGACAGGTCCAATTTTACTTTTAAAGTAGTAAAAGTTACTTTATTCGTTTTTCCATTTTTCTCCGTGTAGCAGCTAAAATTCAACAGGCATCGGAAAAAGAATAGTATCATTCGAAAGCCTGTTTATTTAGCTATACAATTTTGTAATACATTATTTTGCTGTGGATTGCAATGCCTTCGAGATATTAGCGGAAAATTAAAAAAAAAAATTTAACTATCTTAGTTATCAAAATTCTTTTTACGAAAAATAATCAAAAAAAGACATTAAATGTTAGGTTTTTTTAATTTCATTAGATAAAAGCACCTCAAAACACTTCATAGCACTACCAAAAAAATTTTTTGGACATAAATAAATATTTAAAACAGTTAATATCTGAAACAGTGTTTTAAACAGAACTGAGACATTTTAGAAAAACCAGAATTTTCGCAAATAAACACGTAGCTTCCACAAATGATAGCGCATCAAGATCAAATTTTTCTTGACATTTTTTGGTGTTAAAACAAGTATATATGAAAAATAGTGCCCTTTTTGAAGAAGCCGTATAAGCAATAGAGCCACTAACTATCCTTGCCCCTTAACTATCCTTGCCCCATTCTCCCCTACTGAAATTAATGATTTTGAAAATGGGAATAAATTCTAGTTTAGTCTGAAAACAATCTGAAAGTGATCCCCCTTGCGGATTGGGTAAACTAAATTTTGACCCAATTCGGTTTGAAAGGCAAAATAATGATGTTAATTGATGAAAAATGATGAAATAAACTCGTAGAAATGATAAATTATCATTTAGAGAGTTGATTTTTGCAATAGTTTTGATAAATTAAGGTTTATTTTTTTCCCAATATTTTCCACAAAAATAAGAATTTTTTTTTTGAAAAAATATGATTAATAAAATAGAAACTAAAAATTTTATTTCCTCTATTTCTAAAAAAAATCTTTAGAATTTTGTTAAAAATAAAATTAATAATTTCTATTCGCAATAATTTTTTTCTGAAAATTTAACATTTAACAATCCTATATCTACGTAAAAAATATTTACAACTTTTTTTTTCTATTATTGTTATTAGGAAAAAAGTTATAAATAATAGAAAAAAATTGTTATAGGTAATTTATTAATTAATGCAAATATCTTGGAAAATATTAAAATTTTACTAGAAGGACAAAAAAAAATCCGTAACATCGACGCTTTAATTTTCCAATGAAATGTCTCATAAAAATAAATCTCAATGAATTTTGGAAGATATATAGTTATATATGCTTTTTAAAAAAATTAATGTTAATTCAAAATCTTGCATCGCAAATAACACAGGCCTACAAAATTTTGGATTTTGTCAGACCCAGAAACTGGAAGTCATTTTCGATGTAATTTGTCACGCTGAATCCAAAAATGACAAGGAAATTACTCTATCACGTCAGCATTTTGAGATATTCTAACCTAAAAGCGTGAAAAATGAAGTTTTTGGTAATATTTGACACTATATAAAATCGACAAAAAATTTTTTTAATCATTGGTCCAAATTTCAAAAGAAAGTATTATATTTCTCCTTTCAAAATTTTCTAAGTTCGATCTGATCCAATTTTTTTTTCTCTGCGATACAACCATTTAAGTTTTACATTACATGAACTAAAATCCCTTTCAAAAAGAAAAATAAATTGCAAAGTACTGTCGACAGTATGAAGTATGAGTGTGTATTGTAAAGAGTGGGGACTATTGCACAGTCCTTTAAAACTAATGCATAAGCAGGTGTGGTCAGATTAATTAGTCGCTACTCAAAGTGATAGCACGGTTAGTAAATTGTCTTCCAAAAAGACTCAGTGAAGCTTTGGAAGGATTGATTATCTCCAAGTTTTTGTACTTTGCTTGTTAAATAAATAAAGTAGAGTTTGTTCTCAGTTGAGTAACCAACTCACAAAAATAATATTATTAGTTGTTTCTTACGGCGACAACAGTACTCATATCACTGAAACTTATTTCTCGGGTATTTTTGAGGTCGCTAATTACGAATCTGACGTCAGATTTTTGAATTTCAAAATGTCGAATCCCATATGGCGGACACTTTTTAAAAAATTTACCGAATTCGCTTGTCATTCATTACTTGGGGGTTTTTAGGGTCGCTGATTACGAATTAAATGTCAGATTTTTGAATCTGATATCACATTCGTAATTAGCGATTTTAAAACCCCCTGAGTAACAATTTTCAGTGCCATGAGTACTTCGCAATTTATTTTTCTTTTTTAAAGGGATTTTAGTTCATGCAATGTAAAACGCAAATGGCTGTATCTCAGAGAAAAAAAATTGGATCAGATCGAGCCAAGAAAATTTTGAAAGGGGAAATATAATACTTTCTTTTGAAATTTTGACGAATGATTAAACAAAAATTTTGTCGATTTTATAGAGTATCAAATATTGCCAAAAACAGCATTTTTTTATTTTTTATCTCAAAATGCTGACGTGATAGAGCAATTTGCTTGTCATTTTTGGATTTAGCGTGATAAATTACATCGGAAATGACTATTCCGGTTTCTGGGTCTAAAATTTGTAGGCCTGTGTAATTAAGCTGCAAATAATTATTTTTTTCAACATTTTGATTTTTTTCAACTCAGACAAAAATTGCAATTTTTATCTAATTTTTATAAACAATAACTATAGCTGATTTTACTTTTTGAAACATTCTCTCTATAATCGTAATTTTTTTCAACATTGTTTGAAAGTATTTTCTTGAAATATATTATAAACAAAGCAAAATGTTTATTAAATAATATTTTAACAACATACCATTTTTTATTTATGAGGTTATGTTATATTATTAACCCTCACGTGCCTGAGTTCATGTTTGAACGTGAGTGCCTGGGTCCGAGAGACCCAGCTGCTTAAATTTCATTAAAAAAAAAAGATTTAATATCAGGATATTCAATATTTTTATTTTAAATTATAATTGTAATATTTTGCAAATATAATTGCGCAAAAAATATTTAATCTTTTAACACTCTAGGGTACATAAATAGCCTACAAAAAGTCGTGTCGTCACACCTTTTTCGACAGGGCGAACTTAAGTGTACAGTACAAAAGAAATAATTAAGTTAACTTGATTATTACTGGGTATTCTTAAGTTTTTGGGATCGCTGATTACGAATCCAACGTCAGATTTAGAAAATTCAAAATTTCGGATCCAATATGGCGGACGAATTTAAAAGAAAACTTTCTGATTCGCTTGAAAATTGTTACTCGGGGGTTTTTGTGGTCGCTGATTACGAATCCGGTGTTCGTTTTTCAAAATTCAAAATGGCGGATCCAATATAGCGGACAAATTTTAAAAAATTAAACATATTTGCTTAAAAATCATTACTCGGGGGTTTTTGGGGTCGCTGATTACGAATCCGGTGTCCGTTTTTCAAAAATTAAAATGGCAGATTCAATATGGCGGACAGGAAAACTAAATATCAATAAAATTTACTAATATCAGATTTATAATCAGCGACCTTGAAAAACCCTGAATAACGAGTTCAAGCAAAACCGTCAAATTTAAAAAAATATATCTGCCATATTGGTTCTGACATTTTGAATTTTGAAAAAGTAACATCAGATTTGTAATTAGCGACCCCGAAAACCTCCGAGTAACGATTTTCAAGCGAATCCGTACGATTTTTAAGAAAATTATCCGCCATTTTGAATTTTGAAAAACGGACACCGGATTCGTAATCAGCGACCCCGAAAATCCCCGAGTAACGATTTTTAAGCGAATATGTTGAAGTATATGAAAAAAAAAGTTGCCTGGGTCCAAGGGACCCAGCTCAGGCATCTATGTACTAAAGAGATATAAAATAATGTATTAGAAAGAGTTTTACATAGAAAATGCTCCTTTTTTTAAAAAGGTACGTTATATCATTAGCTTATCCGATTTGATAATGATTTTGAAAAAAAATTCTTAAATAGAAGTAGATGAAAAAGCAAATTGTCTGGGTCCGATGGACCCAGCTCAGGCACGTAAGAGTGAAGCTAAAAATGACAATTTATTAATTTATAGATCTTACAAGTCGGAACCTGTTAAAAATCCCGAATTTTTTGAAGGCTGTCCAGGAAAGGAAAAAACTTTTAAGAGATTATTGTACAGTTTGTGTTTTTTTCATGCCGTTGTGCAAGAAAGAAGAAATTATGGGTCACAGGGATGGAATATTGCATACGGTAAAGAGATAAATTCCAAATAATTTTAACTATATTTAAAAGAGACTCACCATTTCACTTATATTTATTTAAGACACTTTAATATTGTATATATGTTTAGGATTTAATGAATCGGATTTTCAAATATCTGTTCAACAACTTCAAATATTCATCAACGATTATGAGGAAGTACCTTTTAAAGCAATTTTATATTTAACTGGTGAATGTAATTATGGAGGAAGAGTCACTGATGACAGAGATCGAAGGTGTTTAAATACAATTCTATTGGATTTTTATAATTCTGATGTGATTACAAATTCACAATATACTTTTTCAAACGTTGGACCAGATTATGTTCTTCCTAAAAAGTAAGAAATTTTTTAAAAAAAAATTTTCTGACCAAATTCATTTTAAATAAGGCAGGCTGAAACGTCGTTTATTTAAAATTTAGGGGAAAAAACTTTAAAGTTTTATAATTTTTAAAGTAATTTAGATCTCTCATTTTTTCTTTTTGCATTTGAAAAAGCTTTCATTTTTCTTTCGAAATCCATTGGAAAAATTAAAAAAATGTTCAAAAATAACAAAATGGCGGCCATTTTAATAAAAAAATATGCAGTGAAATTACTCGAAAACACTTCTTTTTTTTGCTCAAAATTTTTTTGTGGATTCTCTTCACCGTGAAGAATATTTTTTATAAGAATTTAACTTGTGATCGATTCTTGTGGAAGAGAAAAAACATTTTTTTTTTTTTGCCTGATTTGAAATGAATTTGGTCATTATTACAATAATTTATGTTACGAATTTTTAATTTTTCAACCATTATAAATATTTACAATTTTACATCTCTGATGAAAACTTCTTTATAAAATTAAAATAAATTTAAAATTAATCCGCCATACACAATATTGTTTTGGAATGGTCCCTGATTGAAATAAAAAATTTGAAATCCTCTGAATAAAAATTTTATAATTTTCCATTTTCTCTTAGGAATGAGTATAAGGATTATATTAAACAAATAGAATCAATTCCATTTACAACAATACCTGAAGTACTTGGATTACACATGAATGCTGGAATAACAAGAGAACTAAATATTTCAAAAAACTTTTTTGATTCAATGGTTCAATTACAGGGAACAGTATCAATTGGCGAAATTTCGAAACAAGACGAATTGCTTCTAAATATAAAAAATGATATTTATGATAGACTCCCTGATTTATTTGACATTGAAGAGGCACAAAAAAAATATCCCGTTAATTATATGGAATCAATGAATACTGTTCTTACTCAAGAAATGGAAAGATATAATATTCTTTTAAAGGAAATCAAAACTTCACTTATAATGTTGGAAAAGGCAGTCAAGGGACTTATAGTAATGACTCCTGCTCTCGAGGTTATTTATTAATTTAAAGTGAAATATTAAATTAAAAATTAGAATGAAATATTTCAAGTATCATAAAATGTATTTTGAATTGTTTTACGCAGATTCTTTCAACTTTTATGTTGAATTCAAAACTCCCTCCAACATGGGCAAAAGCGAGTTCTTATCCAAGTTTAAAACCACTTCCCAGTTATATAAATGATTTTCTTGAACGACTTAATTTTCTTTCAAAGTGGCTTAAAAATGGAAAACCATCGACTTTTTGGATATCTGGTTTTTCATTTGTACATTCTTTTTTAACAGGTGCCACACAAAATTTTGCTAGAAAATACAAAATACCAATCGATAGAATTGGTTTTGAATTTGAAGTAAGTTTTGTCATTTTATTATATAGAATTTATTTTATTATCTATTTAGGTATTTTACCATTTTTATTTATTTATTTCATTAGTTAAATATTTTAATTAATTTATCCAGGCATCACTGGTATTTACCTTTTTCACCTTTTTTAATTTTTTTTTTCGATTTTATCACCTTTTTACCTATTTTGATGATTCGCCACCTTTTTACCCTTTTTGTGATGAAAAATATAAAATTTTTTGTAAAAAAAGTTTCAGTTTTTTAAAAACTAAAATTTCAATTAAAAATTTTAAAAATGTAAAAAGCAAAAAATTATTTTTCTTCCATTTTCTATTATAAAAAACTCTACATAATGTAAATTTTAATTAACTGAAATTTCACTGGTAATTATTTTAAGGCCATGTGGGAAATACCCACGTGACCCCCATGCAAAAAACATGGTATCGTATTTCCAAATTTTCTCTAAAATGGTAAAGAATTTTTGGTTGAAATTTGAAAAATGTGATAGAGAATAGCATTAAGAATGGCGCTGTTCTCGGTTTGAAGCACAATTTTGCGTTTAAGTATTAAAAATAAAAGTTTGGAATTTCCCATTTTTGAACGAAAGTTGAAGTCAACATGGCGGGGGTACATACAGACGTCGCGTGATTGTATCAGTGGTCCAGGAACTAGCGCCAATTCGAGTTAGTGGCCGCTCAAAGAAATAACAAAAACCTATTAACTCCACTATTAATTACATTTTTAAATTATTTCGCATTCAATTACAATAAATAAGTAGAACGGCCCAATTCCTTCAATCCTTTTTTATTATTCCTCAAAATTTCAACCCGAAATTTCTTCTCATTTCCGAGAAACTTGGAACTATACCAAAAAGTGATTCTGTCTCGCATGGCCTTAAAATTAATCTTTTTCTACAATTTAAAATTTGTTTTGTATTGTATTGTTAAAAATACAATTTTTAAAATGACTAAAAATATTTTTTTTCAATTTTGATAACGTAAAACTTTTTTAGATCCTAAATAATGTCAGTAAAAAACTTGTTGTCTAATAACAATGAAAATTTTAATATGTTAAAATTTGATAAGACAGAAGAGTCATTTAAATGAATTTGTATATTTTACAGAATGAATGTTGGAAAGAATTCTTTCATATTTTTGAATTTACTTTTTACAAAATTCTTAAAATGCCGAAATTTTATTTTTTAAAACTTTCATTTGTCCAAATAAATACCTGACAAATAAATTTAGACACAAATTTTAAAATTGACTAATCAAAAGTTATCCATTAAATTATAATTATTCGACTAAAAAAAATTCATTCATTCTATAAAACAAAAATTCTTTTAAATGACTATCATGTCTTTCGAAAATTCGAATGAATAATAATTCTGTCAAATTCAAATTCACGGAAGTAAAATGTCTGTAAAATGAAAATTTGTTTAAATACACTGAAAAAAAAGTAGTATTAAATCAAGAAAACCTATGTACTTGACCGTATTTTATACCAATATTTTCTTGATCCAAGAAAATTCACTTCAAACTAATAAAAATTTCTTGGATCAAGAAAATATTGATATAAAATACGGTCAAGTACATAGGTTTTCTTGATTCAATACTATTTTTTTTCAGTGTAACAATTCTGTAATTATACAAATTTGGTTAAATTTAATTTTTACTAAATAATAATTCGAAGAAGAAAAATTTGGCTCAAAATAAATTCGAGGTAATGAAATTGAATTGAAAATTCTAACACATTAATTTTTGAGCTTATTTATGTGTCTCTAATTTTTTATATAAAACTTGAGAAAAAATGTTTTTGAATGAAAATTTCACGTGAAATGCCCCATAAATATAAATTTTATTAATACTTTCTGCCAATGAATAAAAAAAAAAATTCAAAAAATTGTAGGTACTTTCAAAATTTGAATCGAATACTCCACCAAAAGATGGTGTTTATACTTATGGAATGTTTCTTGTTGGAGCAAAATGGGATATAAAAAATATGAAACTTGCAGAGAGTACTCCAAAAGTTCTTTGGGATGAAATGCCTTTAGTCTGGTTCAAACCTACTGAAACAGTAAACATTGAAATTCGAGGTCGGTATGAGTGCCCTTTATATATAACATCAGCTCGATTTGGCGTTTTAAAAACTACAGGTCATTCTTCCAATTATGTCCTATCAATATTACTAGACACTGATTTAGATGTAAGAGAATGGATCAAAAGAGGTCTTGCTCTTTTATGCCAACTTGACGATTAAAAGCTGATTTAAATTTCTTGATAATAAAATAAAATTCTTATTATAATTTCAGTGATTATAAGTATAATTATTTTTTATTTCAATCCGCTAGTAATAAGTTTCACAAAAATCTAACAAGTTTTTTTTGAAATACTGATTTAATTCTTTAAGTTTTAAAAGAGTGTTTTCTACCCTGAAATCATAAATTTCAATTCTATTATAAAATTTCTTGTTTCAATTAAACTTTATTAAAAATTCAAATTTTTAATCATACAAAACTTGAATATAAAAATAAAGGTTCTAAAATATTCAATCGGTTTGGTGCAGAAACAGCACAAGTCCACATTTTTCGAAAATTTTTATTTTTTTTAAAATTAATATTATAGAATAAAGCTACACAATTTGGAAAAATATTGCATCAATTAAAAATCTACTAATCCTTAAAAAAAAATCAAATTTTCATTTTGTGCAGAAACAGCACAAGTCCATGTTTCATACACTGTAATTCTTTCAATATTTACTTTCAGATTTATAATAATATTGAATTTTACAATATTGTAGTAGTATTGTAGTAGAAAATATGGGAGTTCATTAAATCGTAATTATCAACTGTTTCTATTTACCCCTAAATTTTTCAACTTTGTTAAAACTTAGGGGTAAATAGAAACAGTTGATTATTTCTTACAAAATTTAAGAAAAAATTAATTTCAAGTATGCAAATGTTAAAAGATACAAAGAATTACATAAAAAATGGTGTTAGTTATAAAATAATACAAACTATTAAATAATAATGCATTAATTAATGCACTAGTCTATATTTGTTAAATACAATGTACCGATGAGAAAATAGATGAATAATATTTTCAATACATTTTTATAATGCTGAAAATAGTGTTGTATCTTGATAGAAACAATTTCTGTTTCTATTTACCCTGAATTTCCAGTTTTTAGAGGTAAATAGAAACAGTCTTCCTATTTTTAATTGAATTTTGCAAAATGAAAAAATCAAATTTGCATTTTTGTTGTAGTATTTAATAAGAAATAATGATAAATAATAATATGAATTTTTAGTTTATTTTTTTTCAAATGCGAGTCAAAAAAGTGAAAGGGTGTGTCTTCTTTGATTTTCAATTTTTTATGCAATAGGAAATATCTTTGTTTATACTGCTGCTAATTGACAAACGAAAAATGGGGGAATACTTAGAACCTGTTGAGGGTGATCAAAGGTTCAAGGTTTAAGGCCGTATTTATTATTAAAATTTTTTATTTTACTGAAATAACTACTGTTTCGACTTACTCCTAGTTTCTATTTACCCCAACTGACCCTAAATGTTTAAAAACAAAAATTTTTAAAATCATGAAATTTCAAATTTTAAAAATTTTATTATTTATAAAATATTAATTAAAAATTATCCAAATTACATATTTTTAATAAATGTTACTAACTGTCCCAAATCATGTTTATTATTCGCCCATTTCCCAATTCTTTTAGAGCCTCTGCCATCTTTTTTCCCCAAATCGTTGGATTCCCGTATTTGATTCCTCTTACTTCTTCCCTTAAACATTTGTATGCCCATCTATCTTCGTCTAATTGTGAAATTTTTATTATGAAATTTATACTCCTTCTAAAAGCCTCAATTTCTCTTCTTCCTGTTTCCATTTTCCAAATGTAGTCCGGAGTATTCTTCGGTAAACCCATGTTTGCTTTGACGAATTTTGCCTGTACTCGTTCAATTTTTTCTTTCTTTTGCCACCCCCATATTTCAACTCCATATATGGAGAAAATTTGTTCCGGACATTTTACTGAATTTTAACTGAAAGTTGGGATATAGTTGCATAAAAGGAATTTTTCAAAATATTTTTTTTATTTTTTGTAGTGATGATAGTTAAAACTTGATATGATATTTTAATTTATTACCAACTCTCTAAATCTGAATTAGTCATTTTTGACTAATTCACAGTCATTTTTGACTAATTCAAATAGGGCGGATTCGTTTACTGTGAATTAGTCAAAAGTTACTAATTCAATCTGTAACTAATCTACCACTAAATGAATTAGAAGTTTCAGTTTCTAGATAGGTATACATAGGTAGATAAAGTAGGTAATGTAGACGTATTTATTTTGAAAATAGACAAAAATTATTGCTTAAAAAATAGGAAACGATTATATTTTGTTTTTATATAGTTTAAATAACGTGAATCAATAAAAAAATCTATTTATTTCATTTTCGAAATTATTCTGCGATAATTACTGGTGGGAGATGTCACTTAGGATTTGAACCTATTACCTTGCCTTCTACCTTAGGAGCTGCGCCTTGACGCGCTCAACCAAAGGAGATTATGAAAATTCGTTACAAAATGTCTCTTATAAGCAAATTGATATAAACTCATTTGTCAAATCGCTAATAAATAAGGTAAAGTCGATTTGTTTTCTATACAAATTTAATTATTATATAAATTTGTAATTAGAGTCTTATAAATGTGCCAATATTGATTTAAATTTGTAAATTAAATTAATTAACATTAACATAACAACAATAGTTTGGAGTGTTTTTTGGCCATCTATACAAACATTTGAAGAACTGAGTTTGAACACATTCAATTTGATCAATATCATCATTATTAATATTATATTACTAAATTAATTATATGTCAATTTTGGTAAACATAACCTACAAAACCTAACTGTTATGTCTGGACATAAAGAAAAATAAATATTTTTTTCATAATTACTTAATGGAAAATAATTACTTGTGCATTTGTTAAATTGATTTTTCTTTGGTTGGAACAGAAAAATGTTGTATAATAAATTAAAAAATTTTCAATTAAGCTATTTTTGCTTATTTTGATGTATGCACATATTATCATGATTAACAAATTAGAAGAAAATCTCTACAATTCATTTAGTCATTAAAAGTGACTATTTTTTAGTAGAAAAAGCACTACTAATTAATTCAGTAATGAAAAGTGACTATTTTTTTAGTAGAAAGTGATGAAACAACTAATTCATTAGTAAAATATGGTGTTACTAATTCAATTAGTAAAATTTTGACTAATTCACATTTAGAGAGAAGCTAGTACTGTAAATATATGAAAAATTTGAATCATTAAATATTGGTTTATATTACGATAACGTATACGTAGATTATGTTGACTATTAGTCTACAAGAAATTATAAATCAATATTTATTCAATGAATTTCTCAAAAAGTTAGTTTTTGAAACAATATTATTAAGATTTAAAAGTAACCAAAAAAACCTGTGCTATTTATCACTTTTTAATGAATCTTTTATTTAAAACATGTATAGTCTTTCTCTTAACGGTCTACTAATTTTACAAACAAATCAAATTTAAAGCTACATGTAATTGTATGGAATTTTAATTTGACGAATGAAACTATAGCCAGCTCTCCTGAGTATTTCCATTCTGGGCACTACATAATTCAAGTCCAGTTCGGTAAAACGTACGTACAATTCTAATCGTATTTGTTTTCAGGATTGAAGTACTTTTTTATTAACTTATACCTTTTATATATTATATATTATTATTATTATTATTATTATTGCACAATCTTTTTTCAATTTTTCAGAAAACATAATGAAAAATTATTTTAATTCATTAACTATTATTAGAGGTGAAATAAACAAAAAATTGAATTTTGCTCAAATGTATTTTTAAACTAAATCATATTTTTAAATTAAATTTTAGGGAAAATAATTTATTTAACAAAATAATTTTTTTTCATTAATTTGTTTCTATTTAAATCACAATAAATTTTTTAAAAAATTTTATTAAAAGTGAATTAATTACTTAAAAAAAATAAATTTGCTTCCTAATTTTGTCATATGTAGTCTTAAAATTAGTTGTCATATTCAGAAATAATTGAATCTAAATTATTTTTTTTTTTTTTTTCAATAAATTGTTTGAACGTTTCTCACAAGCGGTAAACTAAAATCCTGGTTAATATATAAGGACAGATCAAAACTTCTGAAGCAATGTAAAGTGAGCGATTATATATATTGCGATATTTTATATGTATGCGTTTAGTATGTATTACGTTAAATAAAAATGTGTTGCGTGTATTAGGTGTAAGGTTAACATGATGTACTGTTTCAATTCGTATAAGTGAGTATTAAATTGTAAACCATCAGAGAATCATTAAAGTAGGTGAATTGAGATTTCCAGTAATGGTAATATTTATTTTTTTATATTTCTGCCTGAACTTTTACCGAACTCTTCATTAATAATTTAAATAATTTAGGAAATTTCAATTCTGATTTATCAAAAACAGACCTTGATATTCTTAGCTATTGTTCTAGTTTATGTACTGCCAGTACCTTACGGTTTCCCGAACTGAACTTGAGACACTAATATATGTGTTATAATATTTTAATTTGCATTACAGTTTTATGAAATTCATTTTACTGTACTAATTCTTGAAAAATTACCGTTTTGCTGTTATATCCCAATTTTACCGAACTAAGTTCAGTAAAACTCTCGGAACAAATTTTCTTCGTGATATAATGCCCTTGCTTTAACATTCATATCCATTAGAAATAATTTTTTATTTAATTCATTTATTGCCGCTCTTTTCGCTTCTCCCTATGCTTTGTTGATTAATTGTTGTACTTTTCCAGACCATTTTTAATATTTATTACTATAAGTTCTTTAAAAAGTTAGATATTCTGCAATTACGAAGAATAAACTTAAAAAGAAATTTGTCCCATAAATTTATCTGCAAAAATTAGACATTGCTCCTATGTTGAAGATATTTCGTATTGCGGTGGATGTCAATCTCGGAGAGTGACAGTTGCGCAATACGGAAAATTTTTAAATGTTAAAAAAAAAATAAAGTAATAATGAAAATGTATGTTATCACTTTTGAAAAATAGAAATATATGACTTGATTGAAATGAAAATGTGACTTTAACAAGAAATAACTGCAATATTGACTGCATTGTTTATTTTATGCGAGGTGGACACAATACGTACTGTTATATATTGCTTAAAAACCATGTCGGTAAAGAAACATTTTTTTTATCGACACTGAATTCGTTTAGACAGAAAAACAATGGTAAGTATAACTATTTTAATTTATTATTTGTTTATTTAACTGTTTTATGTATATTTTAAGTAAATAGCGCTTTTACATTATTTAGAATTATTATTATTATAAATTATATTAAATTTATATTTTTTTAACGAAAAAACTGAAAAATTTTAAAGTTTCAAAATATTGAAAATTTATCTATAACCTGATAAGAAACTGAAATTTTTTCCAAGTTCAAAATACGTAAATAAATATTATTATAAAAGAAAAATTTTGTTTTTTTTAATCTTAACAAAATTTCAAGTTTATCATTTTTTTTTTAATCTTTTAAAAAACTTATTTAAGAACTTGGAAATTTTTTTAGTTTTCTTCAGTTTCTCTAAGATTATAATGCAAGTTACAAATTATAGTATATATTTATTATTGTAAATTGTTGAGGAAAATATTATTTAGTCACAGAAAATGTTTTTATAAAAAATAATAGTGAGACTTTTTAATATACCAAAAAAAAATACTACATTATTATCAAATATTATAATTGATTTTTTTAAAAAAAATATTACATCTTTTTCTCTGTATATAAAAAATTTTTTTTTTCTAATTTAATTTAAAATTTTCCGCCATAAAACCACTTTTATTCTCTAATGTGTATACATATATATTTGAGAACCTCTGAGTTGGCACTTGAAGTTGTAGAGAGGGGGACCGATCAAAGCCAGTGCTTCGCGGGTGTGTGTGTAGCACTGTTGTGTGTGCTTTGTGCTGTCGATTTACCTCCTGGAAATATATCGAAAAACTCTCCATGGGGGCCCCACCCGAAATAATAAGAAATGTAAGTGATTTTGAAAATAATACAATAAATCTTAAGTAAAATTTATTCTCATGTAAAATTGACGAAAAAGCCGGTAAACGCCTGCCCATAAAATGATCAATGAACTCTTGCTTGTCTTTCGTGTTTTGGGGCGTGCTATACTATCGTTCAAATCAAAAGATGGACGAAAAGAAGTAAACTAAAGAAAAAAAAAGTTTTCTTTTCTATTTATTTCATTATTTCTCTATGTTATGAACATTAAATTATTTACTAAATATTCCAAAGAAAATGTAAAATTTATGTTTTCAATTCACTTGGATCATTCGGTCCATGGATTCTGGCTACATTTCTGCTAGAAATGGCGTTCTGACCATCTTTGAAATAATAAATTATATGAGAAATAAAAACAGCTATTCATCTTTAATAAAAAATATTATTAAAATTGTAAATAATTAAATTAAATTTCATTTAAATTCAATAAGTTATTTTTTATTCTCTGTTATGCTTAAAGTGTTGTGTGATCAGCAAGTATATTTTGCATCTATATTCAAATTAAAATCAAATTGTTTTTAATTTGTTTATTGTAAAAAGTGTTTTCATTGTTATGATAATTTATAGAAATTTATTTTTTACTTTAAAAGAAAATTATTAAAATTCTAGCCACAGTTTATGAAGAAAGTTATAACTTTTTTTTTTTTTTTGTTAAAAGATTCATGAACGTTTTCATAATATTAATTATTTAGTAGTTTCGACAATCAAAACCGACTTACAACACTTTGAAAGTTTACACATCTCTCTTATGTTTGTTGCGTGAAATATGACACACGTTATTATGTAAATTTGTTACATTTAACTTGAATTTTTAAAAAATGCTGATTCAGATGAAAAGAAATTTCATTCATTTTATAAAGACAAAAAATTAGTTGACGTTTAATAAATATTAATTTTCATGTAATGTTATTATATACGGATTGAGTATTTTTTTTCAGTTTCAACATTTTTCTTGTACATGAAAATAATAATTTTATGTAACTATTTATTATAACAAAATTCTGTAAGTATTTCTTACTTAATTCTAAGAAAATCTGAATTAAAAAAAAATTTACACCTATACATTCTTTGAAATTACTATTGTTTATATTAGACTTATAGTTATATTTATATTTATTATAATTATAATAATTATAATTATATATTTATATTATATATAATTATTATTATTATATATTATATATATTATATAATTATTATATAATTATTATTTATAATTATTTATAATTTATTTTATTTTTTATATTATTATTATTATTATTATTATTATTATTATTATATTAATATTAACAATTGGAATTTAAAGAATACGGATCTTTTTAACATTTTTTTTTATATATACATTATAAGCATTGCTCAGATAATAGAGATTTAATAAAAAAAATAAGAGAAAGATAAAAAATGCGAAAAAAGCCAGTTTTCTGGAATAAAAACTCTCGTTTAATTTTTTAAACTAATAATTATTTAATGGGGGTCTGCTTTCACTTTTGAAGGTAATATGTATTTTTTCTTTAGGATTCTGGATATTAAGATTAATATCCTGAATCAAGAAGAAAAGAAGGTCATTCAAAAAGGCATGTAATTTACACGCAATTACTTCCTTGATGTAAAAAATTTTTCATATATACTATAACTTGAAGCATTAAAAATTTTACATACATACTTGTAGTGCATATAACTAACATATTACCTGAAATATTTACTAAATATATGGAAATTTCAAATTGTAATTTAAAAAATTTTAATTTTTGAAAAAAATGTCAAATTATATCTCTATTAAATAAGTATAAAATAAATTAAATATAACAATTAGTATAAATACTCTCTACATTTTAATTATAGTGAGAATTCGTTCACTATAATTTAGTCATTATTCACTAAAACTTTAGTAAAAAAAAAAAAAATATTAGCAAATCAAATATTTAAATTTTACTATAAATATTTGTTAAAATTTCTATTAATTTTTAGTCATTTTTCACTAAAATTTTAGTAGAAAACAAATATTACTAAATCAAATAGTTATATTTTACTAAAAAAAATTGGTAAAAATTTCTACTATAATTTGAATTAGTGAACGAATTCTCACATAATTCAAATTTAGAAAGTAAATCTTAAATTTTCAAAAGTAATTTAAATTTAATTTAATATTTACATATATGAGGCAAAATTCCTGAAATGTCCGAACAAAAAATTAAAAGTTCTCGAATTTAATCCATACTTTTCTAAAATGTTGTTATTGTTGGTGAAAGTCTAAAAATCAATTATTATTGAATTTAATAAAATAGTTTTTGAATTACGTTTTTAATTTTTGACTTTTGAAAAAAAAAATTTTTTTCAATGTACAATATTTATAAGTAGAATGCATAAAAGTTAACATATATATAATGATTTTTGAAGCTTTTTTGACGAGCTACACGCTGTTAATAAATTTTTTTTTTTTAAATAACATTTGACCTTGAAATTCAAGGTCAAAATGTTAATTTACGTTTATCTCAAAATCGGATTTTTTAAAAATTATTTTTAACTATCTCAATGGAAAGCTTGACTAATTTCCTACAAAACATGTAATTTTCAGAGTGGGATCTTTTAAAGTTTTTGAGATATTAATTAATTAATTAATTAATGTTTATAACAAATGAAATATTTTACAAACGAATAAAGTTACCGTAATTCTGAACTTAGCAATTGAAACTTAACATAATTCCGCATCCAACGAGCCCTGTATGAAGTATTTTGGATAAGTAGATTGTTAATAAACAATTAGTTAACATTGCAATTGCTTATTAACAATCTACTTATCCAAAATACTTCATATAGGGCTCGTTGGATGCGGAATTACCTTAACTTTCAATTCGTAAGCCTAGCCCGATAATGGGCAAACAATTTTTACAATATTTTCGGAATTTTTCAAAAATTTATATGGCGAAAATGCATTAGACATTGGAGAATATAATAAACACATCTTTAATATGAAATAAATTATTTTATTTTTTGGACCAAAGGCCACAAAATCAAAAAACGCTGTTATTCTAAACAAATTAAGGTCCTTTTAAAATCCAATTTTTCAAAAATTTTTGAATTTTGAATTTTTTAAAAATATTTTTGTTTTTTTTTTATACTACGCACTTTTATGTATTTTGATGCGTTGATTACTAAAATCATAGTTACAATACCCAAAAATTCGATTTTTTGGTGAAAACCGCATAAAAAAGTCTCAAAATTTATGGTTTTTTTCGATTATTGGGTAAAATATGCAAAATTAAAAAAAATGCATCAGATGTAAAAAATGTATTTTAATAAGATCTATAACTTTTGTTTAAAAGTTTTTTTTTCAATTTTGCTTATTTCACCGTCCGATAAAATTCAACTTTTTTTTTTTGACCCACAAAAAAATTTAACATTTTTAGAAACTAGGACCCAAAAAAAATACCCGTGTCTGACCGTTTTGCTAGATCAAGTCATTTGTGGTTTTTAGGGGTGAAAACAACCCCCAAAATAAAAAGTGACAAGATATCTTTTAAAAATTATTAATATTTTTTAAAACTTGCTATCTGGAGGTTTTCGGGGTCGCTGATTATTAATCTGATGTCAGATTTTCAAAATTCAATATGGCGGATTCAATATGGCGGTCAAAAATTTTTAAAAGTTATTAAATTTTTTTTAAACCTTGATATCTAGGGGTTTTTTGGGTCGCTGATGACGAATCTAATGTTAAATTGTCAAAATTGAAAATGGCGGATATAAAATAAAAAATTAATAACTTTTTTAAAAATTTGATCGCCATATTGGATCCGCCATTTTGAATTTTGAAAATCTGATATCAGATTAATAATTAGTGACCCCGAAAACCCCCCAGATACCAAGTTTTATAAAATATTAATAATTTTTAAAAGATATCTTGTCACTTTTCATTTAGAGGTTGTTTTCACCCCTAAAAACCACAAACGACTTGATCTAGCAAAACGGCCAGATACGGGTATTTTTTTTGGGTCCTAGTTTCCGAAAATGTTAAATTTTTTTGTGGGTCAAAAATTGTGTCGGACGGTGTTTTACCAAATAATCGGAAAAAACCATAAATTTTGGGACTTTTTTATGGTTTTCACCAAAAAATCGAATTTTTGGGTATTATCACTATGATTTTCGTAATCAACGCATGAAAATACATAAAAGTGCGTAGTATAAAAAAAAAACCAAAAATATTTTTAAAAAATTTTAAATTCAAAAATTTTTGAAACATTCCGAAAATATTGTAAAACTCGTTTGCCCATTATTGGGCTAGGCTTAAAAGTTTCGTAAAAAGAAGTAGTTTTTTTGAAAAAATTTTGAAAAAAATCGATCAGTACGTCAAATGAGAAAAATGACTTTTTATAATTAAAACTCAAAAATTTGATAGTAATATTGTTTAAAAATTTTTTTTGATTTTTTTGTTGAAAAGTACGTTTAAAAACACACATTTTGAAAAAAAGACTTTTAAAATTGATGCATATTTAAGGAAGTTATGAGCATTCACAAATTAAAAGTCATGAAAATTCTCCAATTTTCAAAATTCCATAACTCGAAAACGGCTTGCTAAAAAAATTTGAAAAAAATTCATGGAAGCTAGTTTCAATTAGAAGTAAAAGTAAAAAAAATCTCAAAAAAATCTGAGATGCAATTGCAGATGGACTTACACTTTGGCGTGTAATACATCATATATATATAATATTTTAATAAATTGTCTCCCTGAGTCTATATTTATGTATGTAATAAATTGTGTCAAGAACGTGACATTAACGCACTATATAAGCTTTAAAATTTTTTTTTACCATCTTTACAAAAAATTATCTAATTTTTTTCTTAGATCCATTCTCGTGTAAATAATTGATATTGATTACTTTCATTTATTTCTGAAGTAGAAGAAAAAAAGTAAAAAAAAAAATTTTTTTTTTCTGTAATAAAAAAATATATATAGTTTCCATTTGAAAGATGAA